AGAGGGTGCCTGAGACGTTTTCTGAGGTTTTTATCCATTCTCTCCAGGCGTTACTCAGTCTCTATCCTAATTGGATACACACAAAGCAGCCTTTTCATTGGCTGTTCCTGCAACGTTCTGATTGGTCGGTCCTGATTCTCACATTATCCTGTCTTTCCTTCTTTCCATCCTTTAAGGGTGAACGCTTAGTGTTTTAGCTGTTCAAAATCCTTTTAGTTCCTCCATGCTAACCAAAAGATATTCCCATTCCCAGCCTCCCTTACCTTGAGGGTGCAGACATGTGACTTAGGTTCTGCAAAAGGGCACTCTGCAACACAACTCAGTAACGAGACACAGGCCCCACTGGGCAGGGACAGGAGAGCACAAATGGACAGATAAACCAGCAGCTGCGTGGTTCTTTGTGAGGGCTTCTCAGCTTTGCTACAGAGAGCAAGAAAGGGGGCTTTGGAACCTGCTTGAAATCCTGCAGGAGAAGAGCACATCCTCGCTGGGTGCCAGTGGCTCACACCTGTAATCCTAGCTACTCAGGAGGCAGTGATCAGGAGGATCACAGTTCGAAGCCAGCCCAGGCAAATGGTTCGAGAAACACTATCTTTTAAAAAAAACATCACAAAAAAGGGCTGGGAGTGGTTCAAGGTGTAGGCCCTGAGTTCAAGTTCCAGTACCGCAAAAAAAATATCATTTGGCCTTAATAACATTCTGAAACCTGTTCTAACGTAGATGAACCCTGAAGATACTATGCTAAGTGAAATAAGCCTCTCACAAAGAGGTGCCTAGAACAGTCAAATCCATAGAGACAAAAAGCAGAATGGTGGTTTTTAGGGGCTGGGAGGAGGGGATGAGGTGTTACTGTTTGATGGCTACAGGGTTTTAGCGTGGGAAGGTAACAATGTTCTAGAGAAAGCAATAATGTGTATATATGTACTTACTGCCTCTTAAAATGGTAAATACTATGTTATGTATACTTTTCAAATAAAACAGATCTGCTGAAGCTAAAATTTTGTGTAATAGGTTCATGTGAAGATTTATATTAATAAACATTTAGCTATTTTTAAATATCAAATTTTATTGGGAAAAAGGAAGTGTGTAGGGTGGTTAAGAAAGAGTAATATTGCCAGACGCTGGTCACTCACTCCTGTAATCCTAGCTACTCAGGAGGCAGAGATCAGGAAGATCCTATGAAGTTCCAAGCTAGCCTGGGCAAATAGTTCAAGAGACCCTATCTTGAAAAAAACCCCACACAAAATAGAGCTGGTACACAAACAGAAAAAGAAAAAAAAATTAGACCTGGAAGTGTTGCTTAAGTAAAGTACCTGCCTAGCAAGCATGAGGCCTTGAGTTCAAACCCCAGCCCCCCACACACACAAAAGTAATGTAGATGGGGTGAATTTGAACGAAGTACATTATTTGTATATTGTAAATATCATGATGAATCCCCTTCGTTCAATTAATTTATGCTACTAAAAAATCTTTTGAAAAGATGTGTGTTTAGAAAAGTATCTGAATAGACAAGTAGAAAGATGTCTGAAATAATTATTCCTGGCTGGTGGACTTACAAATGATTTTTATTTCTTACATTTTTTTACTCTTATTTTTTATCTGTTTTTAAAAAATTTTTTTTCCTAAAATGAATTCATGAAACATGTATAGTAACACTGTATTTCAGAGTTCTCTTTTCCCCTAGGCATTGCCCAGATGTAGAAGCTCCCTTCTTCCTACCTCCTGCTGCACTAACTGGGGGAATCTCTTTGCTACTCATTTTTAATACTTGATTGAAGTAATTACCTCCAGGAATTCCCGTAAGGTGAGTAAGACTCTGACATACATGAACCTAGGAGAGGTGATTCTAGTTAAAGAGGCTGTGATAAGCACAGGGTAAAGTTCACTGTGTGAACTGTGTGATAATCTGGACTGTTTTTGTTTTAGTTTTGCTCCCAGGCATCATTACCTCATCTCATTGTCATTAACAATGATCAATGCTAAAAAAAAAAAACTGATCAATGCTGGTCTTCTTCACACTTGGTAGCTCACAAAGCACTATCACAGGAAACTGTCACATACTTTTGAGGTTGGACTTTCTGCAGATGAAAAAAATCAGTAGGCCCTATTTTTCATATGGATGTGACCAAAAATAGAATGGCAAGGATCCTTTTTTTTTTTTAAGGTACTGGAGTTTGAATTCAGGGCCGGCACCTTGAGCCATTCCACCAGCCCTTTGTGTGTGTGTGTGTGTGTGTGTGTGTGTGTGTGTGTGTGTGTGTGTGTGTGATGGGTTTTTTCAAGATAGGGTCTCTTGAACTGTTTGCCCAGGCTGGCTTCAAACTGTGATCCTCTACCTCTTGAGTAACTAGGATTACAGGCATAAGCCACTGGTGCCCAGCAATCAGGGCCTCGCACTGGCTGGGCAGACCCTCTACAGGCTGGGCAGACACTCTACAGTTGAGCCACTCAGCCAGCCCTGGTGAGGATCCTTTTTTATGGTAGCAATGCAGGTCCCTCCCATGAGTGCAAGTCTGCTCCACATCTTGGGGGAGATCTCTTGTCTCTGCTCCCAGCTGCTGAGAAACAAACCCTCACCAGAGGGGGAAGGAATGTCACTAGTGGCAAACAAATAGTCACTTTTGGGGACTGGACTTACAAAACTTGACAAAGTCACAAAACACATCCCAGGGTTTGAACAAAGAAGAGTTATGGGATAAGTTTCCACTTAGAAAGGGACCCTGCCATCTGTGACCCCAATTCTTACTCCTCTTGGTATTCTTTCTTCTGCAGACTCCTCCAGTGCCCTGGACATGCTTTTCCCCACCCCCCAGTACTGGGGCTTAAACTCAGGGCCTACAACTTGAGCCACTCCACCAGCCCTTTTTTGTGATGGGTTTTTTTTCTAGATCAATCATACCACTGGAAGAAGATGTTTAAAACAAACAAAAAAACTGTGATTATATAATACATATTATTGTATTACCTGCTTTTTCTCACTTGTTTGGAGATAAACTCTTTCATATTAATAAATTTAGGTTTATGGCATCTTTTTAATGGTTTCATAGTCTTTCATTGCATAATTCATTCAATCTTTTTCCTATATTGGGTATATAGTGTTCCAATCTTTCAGTATTATAAACAAAAACAGGGGGGAGAGGGAGGGGGCGGAGTGGGTGGTAAGGGAGGGGGTGGGGACTGGGGGAAGAAATGACCCAAGCCTTGTATGCACATGTGAATAATAAAACAATAAAAAATAAAAAATAAAAATAAATAAACAAAAACATATCAGCGCCTTTCATTAAAACTGAATTTTTGCATGCATTATGATCTTCCATGTTTAACTGTGAATAAAAGCAATGCATGCTCAATTGAAAAAATTCAAAAACAAAGGAGACCGATAATGCTCCATAATTCTTATTACTGTCACCTGCATTAATACCATTAGGTCTATAATTAGGCTTTCTTCTCCAATGGCTGAGGGTTAGAACTAGAATGCAAAGAGTGACCATGCCTGCCTCTTACCCCCAGAGATAGGGAACTAGAGTTCTTGCTAGGACTGGGCTGAAATCGTAAGAGACAAGCAGGACCAGAGAACTGAAAGGATGAGAGACAGTCAAATAGACTCCAAAAGCCTGGGACACCAGGCCTCAAAATCCAGGAATCAACTCTGCCTAGGTCTCCGCCTACGCATCTCTCCACCCCACCTCTTCTTTTCTTGAAAACTGAAGGTCTTCTTAGGCACTAACTCCAGGCTCTCCTCTCCACCCATCAGTTTATTTTGAACCACCATTTCCAACCCTATCCTTTGTAGTGGTTTATCTCAGACTTTCAGGGTCTTGTCCCAATTTGAAGAAACCCAGCCATAAATCTTTAAACACCCTTCTAAGCCAGTGTGGAGGTACATGCCTGTAATCCTGGTCCTCAGGAAGTTGAGGTAGGAGGATCTTGGGTTTGAGGTCAGCCTGGGCTACATAGAAGACTCTGTCTCAAAACAAACAAAAACACCCTTCGAACTCCTCTGTGCCTGTACCATTCAAGTGGAGGTGTTGAGCCCAGGGTTTTCTCCCTGAAGAGAGCTTTTAGCTCCTCACTCCAGGCTTTCCTGAGAATGGTTGCATTTCTTCCCTCCTGGATTCTGTTAGATATCACTACATCTCTTATAATATGGCCTACTTCACTTGGGTCCAAACCATGAAGGAGCCTGATCTCCTTTTTCCTGCCAATGAGGATGGTACTCCATCTGGGGTGATAAAAGCCTTAAAACTTGGGGTGATTGATTTATTCATTCAATTCAACAAATATTTACTGAGCACTTCCCATGCAGTGACTTTTTAGGAGATTACAGTTTAACCATTCCTAAATAGCTCCAAAGTGACGTGCACTGGCCCTACCAGAATCCGTGCTGTGGCTCCTGGAGACCCCAGTCATTCTAGAAACCACGGTTAACTGCAGAGTCTGTGGACCACTGGGCAGAATGGAAGTCCAGTACCAAAATGATAACCTTTTAGTGAAAGTTGACAAAACCCATGGGATTGGGTCTTCCCATGAAGGACTAAATGCCTCAGGCTGATTCTCCAGCCATGGTCAGGCCTTGGAGAGAGAAAATGTGGACACCTTTTGTCTACCTTAAATCCTTAAGCCTTTCCATGCTCCTGAGTCCTCAAAGCTCTCATCCAGAATACATTCCTGCCCATACGCCTGTTCATGAGACCCTATCTCAAAAAACCCGCCACAGAAAAGGGCTGGTGGAGTGGCTCAAAGTGTAGGCCCGTAGTTCAAGCCCCAGTACCACAAAAGGAAGGAAGGAAGAAAAAAAGAAAGGAAAGGAAAGGAAGAAAGGAAGGAAGGAAGGAAGGAGAAAGGAAGAAAAATAAAAACAGACCTGTCCCATGAGGGTTGGTGTGAGACTAAATAAGCTAGTATGTGTACCTGCCATATAGCAAGTCTTATAGAAGTGTTACCTATGATTTCAGGATAGCTGTGGGAGAGCTGAGCCCTAGGGCCATAAAATCCTCCAAAGCACCATCCCTCCCCACCCCGGTCTCGTCTAGCAGTGGAACTGCCAATCCCATGAGAGGAAGGAGAGGTCTGGGCTGCAGGAGCGGGTTGGTTGTGGTTCCTGGAAGGCAAGGACTCTTTTGTGGCACACCCAATGCCCAATTACACCTTATCTGGCTGCTGCATGAAGCAAGTGCCCGGGAAACACTAACCCGAAGAAGAAAGTATTTTCTTTCTGCCCCACCCCCGGGGGTGGAACGGTCGAGGCGCCAGTCTGAGAAGGAAGTCATTCAGTCACTTGATTTAGGGGGAACGACCCGGAAAGCGGAATCGCTCTCTCTCTGCAGACCCTGTCCCCTTCCAGCAGGAACCTCTGGCTTAGAAGTCACTCCAGAAGCCTCCTGCTGCCTCCACACCTAAGAGCTCGATGTCCAAGTTATGGTGAGGGAGAAGTGAGCCTCAGCCTGCAACCCACGCAAGGCGCAGGGCAGGAAGCCAGAACTGGAGTGGGGAGCCGGGCGGGACATTGTCACGGGGACTGGGGGAAAGCGGCGGGCGCCCCGGGCATTGCTCCTCTTTCAGGATCAAGAGGGCCTCGGCTACCCTGGTGCCCCGCGAGGAACTGAAGAACCCAACGTTTGTCGGCCAAGGCGGGTTCGGTGCGGTGTTCCGGGCACAGCATAGGACTTGGGGACATGATGTGGCAGTCAAGATTGTGAACTCGTGAGTGACCCCAGCTGCGGGCTGGCCCGGATCCTGCCCCGGAGGCAGAGCCACTGTGCTACCCGGCCTGAATGAGGGAAGGGAGGGATCCTCCCCGGGCTCACTGCAGCTCTCTCCTGGAGTGTAGGAAGGCCGTATCCAGGGAGGTGAAGGCCATGGCAAATCTGCATAGCGACTACGTGTTGCATCTGCTGGGGATCACCGAGAGCCTGCAGTGGGACTGGGTGTCCGGACCGGCTCTGGTGACGGGATTCATGGAGAATGGCTCCCTAGCAGAGCTGCTGCAGCCGGAGTGCCCTCGGCCCTGGCCGCTCATCTGTCGCCTGTTGGAAGAAGTGGTGCTTGGGATGTGTTACCTACACAGCCTGAACCCGGTGCTCCTGCACCGGGACCTCAAGTCCTCCAACGTTCTGCTGGACAGAGATCTGCACGCTAAGGTCAGAGCACAGCCCTAGAGCTGCTCCAGCCCCACCTTCCAGACAGAAGCTGTGGAGGCCCTGGCTCAATAGCTCCCTCTGAACACAGGACTGCCCAGGCCTCAAGGTCCAGCCACCAGGTGCTAGAGGCTCTGACCGGCTTGGGTCAGTTCCACAGGACCATCCCACCAGTCCTTCCAAAGATCCCAGGCTGACCTAGTCCAGGAACCTCAGACAGACCTAGGCTGGACTGACCTATAGGGGACCTGAATGTCCCACCCAAGGCCTCACTGGCTTTCCCTCACCTCTTACCTTCTTACCCTTTACAAAGCTGCACCTGAACCTTCTGGGGGAGAGGGAGAGAGGATTCTGGAGGCTGTCTGCCCTCCTTTATCCCATACCTTTTCCTTCTTCTCTTCCTTTGCAGCTGGCAGATTTTGGCCTGTCCACATTTCAGGGAAGGTCACAGTCAGGGACAGGGTACTGGGAGCCAGGGGGCACCCTAGCCTACTTGGCCCCAGAACTGTTAGCTAATGTAAACCGGAAGGCCTCCAAGGCCAGTGATGTCTACAGGTAAGGTACCCACCCCAAACACACATCCCAGACTTCTACACCTCTCCGGGCCTTTCTAGGGGAGAGGTTTCTTGCCAGTGGTTGGCCAGGCCTCCACCTTGTGTCTCCTGCAGCTTTGGGATCCTCATGTGGACAGTGCTGGCTGGAAGAGAGGCTGAGTGTAAGACTCTAGGCAGACTCTGGACCCAGGTGCCCTCCTCCTCAAAGCCCCAAGTTCTCCTTTTCCTCCTCACCTCCCCCCTTGGGCACACTCCTTGCTCCTGTCCATAGTACAGCAGGTATCCTCTTATACCCTGATCCCTTTTCTTATCACCCCCCCACCCCACCCCAGTGGTAATCCAGACATCGATGGTTTGTGAAGCGGTGTGTGAGAGGCAGAACCGTCCTTCGTTGGAGGAGGTGCCTCCATCTAGCCCTGAGACTCCCGGCTTGGATGAATTGAAGAAGTTGATGCAGCACTGCTGGAGCCATGAGCCCCAGGAAAGGCCCAGTTTCAGTGGTGAGCTGGCCATTTCACTGGCAGTTGGAGTAGGCTTCAGTCTGTTGGCAGGGGCCTTTTCCCAGGGGGAAGAAGATCTGCTCACCCACAAGTCACTCTGCTGTCTTTCAGATATCAAAATCAGCAAAGCCTGCTCCCTGGTGGAGGACAAGATGGATGTGGCTGTCTCCAAGGTCAGTGTTCTATACCATCCCGCACTCAGGACTACGCTGCTCTGGGAAGGCACGCAGGGCTCCCTTGGCCATTCAGTGACTCCCCACTCATACTGCCTTCCATTCATCCCTCTCCTCCCCACCCTGGCCCCTGAGTTCTTGAGCAACAGATTATGGACCAAGAAATGACTCCTTTAGGTGTACTCTTAGCTCTCCCAGTTCATGCCCCGCAAGCAACTCCTGTCTCTGCAGGTGAAGAAATTTCTGTCTGAGCACAGGAGGTTGTGTGCCTCAGAGCCAAGCCAAAGAGGGACAGAAATGGATGGATCTGGGGAAATCACAGGAAGCCAGAGCCCTTGGACTGGTTCCCTGGTTTCTGAGATGCTAAATAGCTTGAATCTAGAGGAGTCACCCAGCTCAGTTCCTGAAAGATACACGAGCCTTACTGAGGGGAACAGGGCACAGGAAGAGCACGTTCAGCATGCCAGGACAGCGGGGATGTCTTCCAGTCCAATGGCTCAAACTTCCCAAACTCCAGAGACCTCACCTTTCAGAAGCCAGACACCCACACCCATTTTAACTGGGGCTGTAGGTCCTGGCCCCCAAGGGAACCAGGTGAGACATTGACAAATCAAGGGTATGTCCTCCTGCTGAGGACAACTTGGAGTCTGGAAGGGAACCAGGCACCAGAGCAGGGTGCCTGAGTGCTCTGTGTATTGTTTGCAGGGGACAGAGAGAAATGGCACTAACTGGTCCTCTTGGGCCCCAAAGCCAAATCCAACAACAGGTACTCATTCCCCACTCCCCTCATTTCCCCTGATCAATTTTTCTACCACGTTCTTCCTCAACACCTGCATATAGATCCAGGGTACTTTGGGGGTGGGGAGAAAGGACTAGGGATCATCTAACCCAATCTTCTCATTTCATTTTTCTTTTTTGTCTTTTGTTTCTTCTTTTTTATTTTCTTTCTATCTTCTCATTTAATAAATGAGGAAAATAACGCCCGGTGGGAAACCATCCCAGGTTTGGCACAGCCTGAGTTTGCCCTCTGGATCTTCTGACTTTTTTCCAGTTACCAGCTCTAAGAGCCTTCACCGGTCTATTGTTACTATGGTGGTCCACTGGACCTCCCAGCTGGACCCAAATATCAGTCACCACTCCTCTTGAGCTTCTCCCAGGTCAATTCTGGAGAGGCAGCCTGAAGGGGAAGGCACAGGGCACACTTTCACCCAGCCACTGTGGCAGAGTGCAGACTTCACACTTGTATTTCCCCAGGGTGAACACAAGGCGCCCTTGCCCCTTGATGCCTGCTCATCTTGTCTTTCCACCACTAAACCCTCTTACCACCACCACTCTTTTCTCTTAAAGGGCCATCATCTATTAGCCTTAACAACTGCGTCGGGGTGCAGATTGGAAAACACAACTCCATGACTATACAAGGGAGACCTGTTCTGCCTGAGCAAAGCGTGGCACCCTCCAGCATGGGTAGGGGCTGGCAACCCCACAACAAGTAGGTTCAAAAGAAAGCCTGAAAGAACCTGAAGACTGGAGTGGGCCACCGAGTATAATCATTGTGAAAATAAGGCACCTTCTAAGTTGCTAGCAGGGATCAAGGCAACCAGCAGTCTCCTCCTGTGACCCTCAACATCTCCCTTCTTCAAGGGCAATTAGGCCTGTGCCCAAACTGACTTTGTGATTTGCCTCCAGGAGTCAATAAATGTGAAATAATGCCAGCCAAAGCTGGTTGCAGGAGTCTGAGTCATCAGTCATGGACGGGAAGGACAGGGATGGGGGTGGAGGGGACAGGAGCTGGCCACCAGGGATGGGGAGGCACTGCAGCTTGGCCAAGGCAGGAAAGGGGTTGCTGGGGGCTGGCTATAGGCAAGCTCCTGGCACACAAGGTCAGGGCCCAGATGGTGGCAGGAAGGAATCCCAGAGGCCTGGTTCCCCCGTGTTCCAATCTCAGGGTGGAGTGCTTCCTCTAGAGCTCACCCCACCCTAAGCCTAAACTCACAGGATAGAGGCTAAGGTCTTACAGTCCCCCTTTTTCTCTGCATTTCAAGCACCAGGCTGCAGTGCCTTAGAAAGGGGAGACAGACTTCTCTGTGGCAATTTGCAGATGCCAGTTCTTCTGCTGCCCTGCAGGGTGCCTTCAGGGTCAGCTGCTGCCTGGTCACCTCCCTCCACCACACAGGCTCACTGCATACCTTGCTATCCAGGCAGGGAGACCTTTTTAGTCTCGGCTGGTGTCCAGCTATATCCAGCTGACGCTCAACAACACAGACCTGCGGGGCCAGGGAGCTAGAGAGGGCTGGAGAACAGATAGTTCAGACTGGGCCCCAGCGATAACAAAGAGGCGCAGAGAGTCAAGTGGAATGAGACCCCTGTTCTGACCTAGAGCCCAGCCCCCATCTGGCACCAGGACCCTGTTCTTCCCTGCATTCTGGCCAGGCTTCACTCCAGCTCTCCTTAGGTCTTCCCATATCCAACTGTTCCGCCCCCATTTTGACACATCCACATCAGGCCACCCCACCACATTGTGTCTCATCGTTCACATTCCCTTTCCCTGAGGAAGCCTAGGGAAAAAGGCAGTGGTTAGGAGACACAATCCGAGCGGGGGGAGGAGGTCAGGGGTGTCCTGATCCGGCACGGGAAGGGGCCGGCCTGTCCTGTCGAGGAAGTGGGAGGGGGCCCGCGGCGCCAGAAGGGCAGCGCCTGTCGCCCAGGATTCTGAGCCACTAGCGTAGCGGCCAGCTTGACTCCACAACAAGTCCCCCAGCCTCCCTTCCCGAGCCTAGCCGGCTCAGCTTCAGAAGCGTGGCACGCAGTGAGTTGGGGCGGGAAGGGAGAAACCAGGGATCCCTGCTAGCCGACCCCAAGTCCTGTCCTGCCCCAATCCTCCCACCCCAAATCCCGGCCATGAGGCCTTTGCTAAGGCTGTTTCTCAGTCTGGGTTTGAGCGAAGGAGTGGAAAGAATTGGGAAGTCCCGTCTCTGCCAGCTGGGAGCCGGCTGGGAGGCCGCAGGAAGTGCCTGGAAAGAGACGGGATTGCCTCGAGGTTGGGGACGTAGGTTGGAAGGGGCTCGGGGCAGAAGAGAAAGGCACTGTGGAGCCAGCCGGGCTGCAACAAGTAACCCAACGCCGGGTCCTCCCCAGGCCCGAGGATTGGGCGGCGGAGACCATGGCCCGCTTCTTCAGCCCCCCGCCACCCCCCAGCGAGGACCTCTTCTACGAAACCTACTACAGCCTGAGTCAGCAGTACCCGCTGCTGCTCGTGCTTCTGGCGATCGTGCTCTGCGCGCTCGTGGCGCTACTTGTCGTCGCCTCGGCCAGCGGCAGGGTGAGACGGGCCTGTTATCCTCGGCCTACTGCGACTCTGCTTCAGACCGGGGGGAGAGTCACCGCCTAGGGGGCATTGGGATTTGCGGGGTCTTATTATGGGGCTTTCTTTGTTAGGTGGTAGAAAGAAATCATTGAACCTTGCTATGAATGTCGTGACCCTGGGCAAGTCACTCCACCCTCTGCGCCTTGGTGTCTGGCACAGGGAGCTAGAGTCCTGAATGCTTCTCTGTGGTCTACTGGTTCTAGAAAAAGGAGAAATCCAACACCGGATTTTCCAGTTTTCCAGGGGGGGGAAATTGTACTTAAACCCTGGGGGAATTTATTTCCTGATTTGCTCTCCTTCTCTGGGAACGTGGGACACTTGTGCCCACAGAGTCCCAGAAGGCATCTCCCATCCCGCTTTCATTTAGTTCCCTACTCCCACACACACCAAACCGTTTTTAGTTTCTCTTTGGGGAAGAAGGGGGTCTTCAATTCGGGAGTACCCTGCTCTGGGTTTTCTTTTCAATTCTGGGTGGCAGGGTGGGAGAACCACTGGGTGTGGTCAATCCTTGCTTGTTCCAAAGTCCGGAAAGAGACGGGGACGTGGGGCGGGAACAGCAGGTGGCAAGACCTCAGCCCTGGACGGCTAGGGAAGGTGTGAGGCCAAGGCGAGACCCTGGCGCCCCCTGCTGCTCAAGCTCGGCTTCGCGCCTTCCGCTAAACTTGGAAACCACCTGCTTCCGGGCGGAGGATTCTCCTGAGCAAATATGCGGGATTTGGAGACAATGATTTCCTGGTGCTGTCTTCTGAGTGAGGATCGTTCACTTGCCGTTCGCGGGGTGGAGGCTGCAGTTACCGCCTGACAGATAAGAAAAGAGCGTGGATGCTCAAATATCCAATATAGTGTTGGAACCAGGTCTTCCGGGTAGATGACCTGTCTCAGGCTCACCAACGGATGCAAGCAAGATATTAGGGTGAACCATGTGAGATTGTTCTGTCTGCCGATCAAATCATCAAGATAACGGCAATTTCTCACGGCTCAACCAAATATGAATGGCAAGCAGAGGTACCCTGCTTCCTTTTCGTACTTGGGTCCGAGACACGTCTCAGAACTGACCTGAAGGGCCGCCCGCACCTCCTCCATCTAATTCGTTCCCCCTTGCCCCAGGTGAGCTCCCCAAGCTTCCATCTCAACCTTGCCTCACCTACTCTTTCCCCATAGGAGCTGACCTCAGACCCTCGCTTCTTGACCACTGTGCTGTGCGCTTTGGGCGGCTTCTCGTTGCTGCTGGGCCTAGCTTCCCGAGAGCAGCGACTGCAGCGCTGGACTCGTCCCCTTTCGGGCCTCGTGTGGGCCGCGCTGCTGGCTCTGGGCCATGGCTTCCTGTTCACTGGGGGCGTGGTGAGCGCCTGGGACCAGGTGAGAGGAATGGCAGGCAAGGGATGGGGAAGCGCCCTGGCCTGCAGCTCAGCTCAGGCATTGCAGCTGCCCACGCCCTGCCCCAGGTGTCGTTTTTTCTCTTCGTCATCTTCACTGTGTATGCCATGCTGCCTCTGAGCATGCGGGACGCTGCCGCCGCAGGCGTCACCTCGTCGCTCTCACACATCCTGGTCCTCGGGCTGTACCTTGGACCCCAGCCAGACTCCCGGCCTGCGCTGCTGCCGCAGGTAAGCACAGGCAGCGCCCAGACCTGGCTCTGAGCTGTGACTTCAAGACAAGAGGGAATACTGCGGGGGCTGACGGAGTGGCTCAAGGGTTAGAGTTCCTGCTTAGCAAGCGTGAGGCCCTGAGTTCAAAACCCAGTGCCACCAAAAAAAAAAAGAAAGAAAGAAAGTGAAGAGGCAACACTGGGTGCTGGATACAAACACCCCCCCAACAGTGCCCACCTGAAGCTGGTACACCAATGCAGCGCGATACCTACTGATCCCAGAAGGGGGCTCTGAGTCCCGGGAAACAGTCATGGTTCTCTCACCAGGGAGTAGGGGTGTGGGGACAGAACCTTCACAGAAGAGGTAAATCAGAACCTGAGTAGTTTTGTGCAGCTGGAGTGGCGGAAGGGGTTGAGGATGGTGGAGAAGTATTTCCAGCAAAGAAAACATTGGTGCAAAGGTTTATAGATCTAAGAGACCATGTTGGGCCAGCAGCCAAGAGTCCAGAGCAGGGAGCATGGAGGAGAGAAAGGAAATGCTCCTGCAGATGTCACAGCGCACCATTTGTCCTGATACTCAGTTCTCTAATTGTAGAACCTGGTCAAACTACTCACATAGATAGTCCCAACCTCACTGGGTCCTGCTCTCTCTGAGACTAGCCCTCACCCACAGCTGGCAGCAAATATGGTGTTGTTCCTGTGTGGGAACCTGGTAGGAGCATACCATAAGGCGCTGATGGAACGAGCACTGCGTGCCACATTCCGGGAGGCACTCAGTTCCCTGCATTCTCGAAGGAGGTTGGACACTGAGAAAAAGCACCAGGTTAGCTGGGCCCAGGGGGCAGGATGGGACAGATACGCAAAGAGAAGAGTTAATATTACCCAAGTGGGCGCCTTCCTGCAGAGTGACTTTGGGCAAGTCACTTGCCCTTCTACAGTATTTCCTCTTTTGTGTCAAATGTGGCTATTACCAACCTTGGAAGGGTGTAGCTAGGCTCAAGCTGAAACTAACGAAAGCACTAAGCACATTCTTATATTAGCTGAAGAACTCTAATTCAGGAATTCAGGTGTTGACACTGATCCCTAAAGGGGATCAGTATAGGGTGGGGTACTGAGCCCTGCTATATGCACCAACAGGGCCTGGGGGAGCACACTGGTAGGGGTGGGGCAGTTTCAGGCTCCTGGGTAGTTTGGAGGCCTGGGGCTTCTGGCAATGGAGGAGGAGGGAGTGTTGGTGCTCATAGCAGTCTCCGCCAGGAGCACCTTCTTTTGTCAATCCTTCCTGCCTACCTGGCCCAAGAGATGAAAGCAGAGATTATGGCACGTCTGCAGGCTGGACAGGGGTCACGGCCAGAGAACACGAACAACTTCCACAGTCTCTATGTCAAGAGGCACCAAGGAGTGAGGTATGAGGAAGGATAACTGGGCAGAGGGGCCCGTGGACTGAGCCCTTGGCCCTACTGACTCTGTCTGCCCTGCGCAGTGTGCTGTATGCTGACATCGTGGGCTTCACACGGCTGGCCAGCGAGTGTTCCCCTAAGGAGCTTGTGCTCATGCTCAACGAACTCTTTGGCAAGTTTGACCAGATCGCCAAGGTTAGGGGGCCTCCCTCCCCACCTAGGAATCTTCGAACACCCCATTGTGGGTACCCCTTGCATTTTGAGATTCTAGCCCCATCAAAGTCCAGGTAGGCTCCCAGATACTCCCATGGGAGTAGGAAACCCTCTCAAACATTCTCAGTCAGGAAGCCACTCACCATGCACCTCACACCTCATACACCTCAAACATCTCTATAAATGCACCAGTCACAATGTCCCCACATACACTCAGAGCTCCAGCATAGGTGTCTCACAGACATCACATACAAAGTTGAGGTGTTCTAACCTTAGGAGTCCCTTCCCAGACAAATTCCCGCCCTCTGCAGCTTCAGCGTGGATGCAACCTAGTTTGGGGGTCTTTCTCCAAACCTCTCAATCTCAAGACTACTTCTGTGTATCCAGATCGGGGTAAGCCCTATATATGCCAAAACTGGGGAGGACCACAGACATCCTCCAGCCCATGATTATCAATTCTGAAACAAAAATGTGCAAGAGAGATCTCAATCAGCCCCATATCAACTTAGAGGGAGTCCCTAGATCTGACCTAGACACTCCCTACCTTGGGAGTCCTTCAGAAGTACCACACTCGCTCCCCACTTTTCCCAACTCCCTCCTACCCCTCTGGCCTCTAACCAGGTTCCTCTACACACCCACACACATACTCCCAGGAGCACGAATGCATGAGGATCAAGATCCTGGGAGACTGTTACTACTGTGTCTCAGGGCTGCCACTGTCACTGCCAGACCACGCCATCAACTGTGTGCGGATGGGGCTGGACATGTGCAGAGCCATCAGGTCAGTTGAGACTTGGGGGGCAGGCGGGGAGGAGGGGGGCACAGAGGGATGGATGTGGGAGGGGCAGGCGGGGTGGTGGAGTCCTCCTTGAGAGGAGGAGGGTGTGGCACAGGAAAGGTTGAAGGCAGGACTCCGCTCATCCCACACGCACTGTGCTCAGGAAACTGCGGGCAGCCACTGGTGTGGACATCAACATGCGTGTAGGCGTGCACTCAGGCAGTGTGCTCTGCGGAGTCATCGGGCTGCAGAAGTGGCAGTACGATGTCTGGTCCCATGATGTCACACTGGCCAACCACATGGAGGCAGGCGGTGTACCAGGGTGAGATCAAGGGCACCAAGCAACCACAATAAAAGGCCCATCAGGCCACCCACATGCTGACACCCTTTTCACAGTTCCTTAATGAGCAGAACTCCCTGGGGCTCAGGGAGATTTGCAGTGCTGGGAGGGGAGCCGGGAGTACCTCTTATAACATAGGGTCTTTTTTTTTTTTTTTATGGTGACTTAGTAGAATTCTTTTTTTTATTTATTTTTATTTTTTTGTTATTCATATGTGCATACAATGCTTGGGTCATTTCCGCCTCCCCTTACCACCCACTCCACCCCCTCTGTCTCCCCCCACCCCCTCAATACCCCGCAGAAACTATTTTGCCCATAGGGCCTTTTTGAAGTCACACCTCCAGGAACTGTCATTGAAAGAAATGAAGGGTTTGGAGGCCCTCCCTCCTGACTCTCACTGCTCCCTTCCAGACGAGTGCACATCACAGGGGCTACCCTGGCCCTGCTTGCAGGGGCTTATGCTGTGGAGGATGTAGCCATGGAACACCGGGACCCATACCTACGGGAACTAGGGGAGCCTACCTACCTGGTCATCGATCCTCGGGTAAAAGCCCAGTTTGGGCTCTGTGGGCTAAATCAGGCAAACCACCCACAAGCTATGCCAGAGCTTGAGTTCCTATGTCCTAATGTGTATGGGGGTGGGGACAAGTGTCCGAGGGGTGTGGGGAGGATGGGGAAGGTCCATGATCTTCACTCTCAGATTTCACATGCCCCAGGCTGAGCAGGAGGAGGAGAAGGGCACCGCAGGAAGGTTACTATGCTCTTTGGAAGGCCACAAGATGCGCCCATCACTACTGATGACTCGCTACCTGGAGTCCTGGGGTGCGGCCAAGCCTTTTGCCCACCTGAGCCACATGGACAGTCCTGTATCCACCTCCACCCCACTCCCGGTACGTGTACCTCCATTTTAAACAGTGACACTTAAGGTAAACCCACTTCCATTGTCTTGTGGTTTCACTTCCAGCCTCCCCCGAAACCTCAATGAGTCACTTGATGATTTGTGACATCCCAAGATCCTGAACTGTCTGATTGCCCCAATCATTCCCCCTCTTTCAGACAAAGAGCAAAGGTCTCTGCTCTCTGAGCTCACCTCAGAAAAGATGCAAGATCCCCATAGACACTGTCTATTACTCCTCAGCCTCCCCTTCTCCTACACCCCAAAGGGAAGCAGACTCTGCTTCCTCCTGACTCTGATTCCAGCATTTCACACCCATTGCACCAGAAAATGCCTTTGTTTAACTCAGTTCCTGCAACTGCATGCTGTCTTCTTCAATCCCTCCTAGGGATTGAATCCCCACTAGGGAGGCAGGGGCAAGTTGGTTGCCTCTACTCCCTAGCACTTGCACATGTGCAAAATGAGGTAAGAGTGAAAACCAAACATGCCCTTGAAGAAGGAAGTGCTATGAACAGCATGGTTGTGGAAGAGGAGAGGAAGTGAGCATAACCCTTGTCTAGGTGAAGCTAGAGCAGAGATAGTTACTGGCTGACCCTATAAACAGCGTCTTGAGTAACCAGTGGCCCACAGGCTAGTGAAAGAGTCTGGATCTCCCCCACTGGCTGGCTCTTGGGGCTGATGTGAGAACGACCCTGTCCTCTCCAACCCCATGAAGGAATCAGGTCTTCCCTCCTAAAGCCATGCACCAGCATTAGGTCCCTGTCCCCTCATCCTGCTCTGCACCGTTTTACACTTTCTTCCCAAAATCTGTTTAGAATTTCCAGCCACCTTTCTGCGGACCTCCTGAGTCTTGTCTACTGGATATACCTGCTTAGGTTTATGGAATGTCTTCTAAGTGCCCTTTCTGTATTGCATTCCCCACTTCTTTCCCATCCAACAGAAATGAAAACTAGAGATCAGTGAACATTGGGAATGAGGGGATATTGGAGGAGCGGTTCAGAGGAGGACTTAATTCTAAGCCTCAACCTGGGGAAAGGGAGAGATAGAAGGGTTAAGCTGGCAGGAGGGAAAGAAAGAGAGACTTGAAGGCCTCATGGACTGTTCTAGCATGAGGTCTCCAGGATGAAGGAATGGTATGAAAGGTTTTCTACAAACCCAGAGACCATGAGATAGACTTGGGTGCAATTCCTGCAGTAGGAATGCACTGCTAGAACTCCTGTCACTCCATTGGTGTGCAGGCTAGGAAGTATCAGGGTAAAAGAGCAGGCACTTCCTGTTCAGGGGTATCTCCTAGGTGAGGCAGAACCTCATTATCCCAGAAACTTCACTTCTCACCCCTGAAGTTCCAGGGCCTCAGTCAAGTGTTAGTCATCCAGACAATCACCATCAACTTAGTCTTAAACAATGCGGAACTTTGAAGTGGTTGAGTAGTGCTTGTGCTAGGAAGTTTCATTCATCCACCAATCCCTCCACAATTTTTAAGCACCTACCCTATGGTAGCACTAGGCTAATTCTTGAGAAGATAGACTTGAATAAATTTTTTTTTCTGCCTTCAAATAACTTACAGGCTTTGGGGGATAGGTTGAAAAAAGTTAGACCTAGACATAGATAAATTGATGGGCCCACACCAGAACCTACAATTCCGTCTCAGTATCTCGCTCTCCCCCTTCTCCCTTTCCCATATACCAGGGTTTGGTTTTGAGGATGATGTAACCCTGTGAGCCTGTTTCTAGCAGATGAACCAAGGGGGTCACCATACTTCTTGCGCTGGACCATGGCCCACAGAACTTCACTCTTTCCCTCGGTGAATGCTTTTTTTTTTTTTCCCTTCTGTAACCTGTTCATTTTCATCTCTGCATACACACCATGTATTTCTTTTGGTAAAGAAAAGAATGACTATAATCAGGTTGATTTCCCTTGCTCTTGTCTATTCCTTGTTATCCACCTCCACCACATCTCAGCTCAGCCTGACTGACCTCACAAATGAACACTCTGCATTGTCACTTTGATTTGAATGAAGGACTTTTTTTTGGCATCCAAGGGTGGTAAGAAAGTCCCTGCCTTTGAAATCTGCAGTCTTTAGGGAAGGTGAGATACAGAGACTCAACAGTTACTCAAGCATAGAGAAGATAAAGGGTTGACCAGCTGGGTCGTGGACACCTTGAGGGCCTACATGGTTTAAAGACCCTGGGAGTCTATAGAGTCAGGAGGAAACTTTAAGAAGGAAATGGAGTTTGAACTGCCCCTTTATGGGCAGGTAGGATTTAGTGGGGGAGAGAGAGAGAAGTCATTAGAAAAAGAAACAAGCAGGTCAGATGCCCAAGGCCAAGGACATATGTAGAACATGCAGTGAAGTTCACAGAAACAATGCTCTACATCCCCCCATGGAGACAAGAGTCACCCCCACCCCCACCATCTGTTCTCCCCACAGGAGAAGGCCCTGGCTTCCTTCAGCCCCCAGTGGAGCCTTGACCGGTAAGGAGACGTGAGCATCTTTGACAATGCAGCTGGGTGGGTTGCATCCTTCCTGGGGGACTGCTTGGCTTTGCCCAGGCTTTTGAAGGTCTCCATGGTAACAGGTTTGGCTGTCACTGTGCAGGAGCCGCACCCCCCGGGGACTAGATGATGAGCTGGACACTGGGGATGCCAAGTTCTTCCAGGTCATTGAACAGCTCAACTCTCAGAAGTACGAAAAGCAAAGAGGGCTGGGAGGGCTGGAAGCCCCGAAGTTGTGTGGTGGAGGAGGGCTGTTGCTCCCCTGAGACTCTGTAGGGAAGTGAGGGGCTTTTCTAGAGGGAGGCCCACCTGACCATTTCATCCTGCCCTCTCCCTGTCCTACCCTGCCTGGTCTTCTCTGGTTCTTACCATCCCCCACCTCCCACCAGACAGTGGAAGCAGTCAAAGGACTTCAACCTACTGACACTCTTCTTCAGGGAGAAGGAGATGGAGAAACAGGTAAGCTAGGAAAATGGACACCAAGAGATTTCCCAATTTTAGGTACTTGTCCTTCAGGAGGGGTTAGGCTTTGAATCCCTGCCCAGGTTTTATCAGTTTCTGGCCCTGGGATGAAGGGCTTGTGCCTCTCTTGGAAAGGAAAGTCATCCATAGATTTGAGATATTGGATGGTTGTAGGAAGAAGGGGGGAAGCTCCTTGGAGAACCAGTTAGGGCTACATAGAACTGAACTGGAGTGTGGGGCAACGAGGCTGAGGAACAACCCCCCCCCCCCACACTCACCTGGGACTGACATATTCAAGGAGATTGTCAGGACTGATGTTCCGTTTCTTCCTATCCCTACCCTTCCAGTATCGGCTGTCTGCACTACCCGCCTTCAAATACTATGCAGCCTGCACCTTCCTGGTTTTTCTATCCAACTTCATCATCCAAATGCTGGTGACAAACAGGTGCGAGAACAAATAGGCAAAGGAGGTCCTGGCTCTCATATACTGATTCCCCTGTTCTTCCTGACCCCTGACCCACACTTTCTTCCTTTGTCCCCTTCCTCTTAACCTCAGACACTTACCCAGAGAGGAAACATGTTATAGATAACCAGTGATAATCAGAGTCCTCATCTTAATATTGTACATCCTGGAGGCTGGGGATGTAGCTCAGTGGTAGGGAGCTTGACTAGCCTTCATGAGCCCTGAGTTCAGACTCTACCACTGAAAAAATTGTACATCCTGATCACTTTTACATGGCTATCTCTCTCAGCTCTAACAATAGCCTCATGAAGAAGGTTGTGTTCCCGCTGAAAAAGCTCAACTCTTACAGCAAATGAGTGAGCTTAGAAAGTACATCTACTTTCCTAGGCCACTGGGAAGGGTAAGGTCTTGTTGAAAGCTCAGGCTGGGCTCAGTGGCTCACTTCTGTAATCCCACGTACTTGACAGGCAGAGATCAGGAGGATCACCATTCAAGACCATCCTGGTCAATAAGTTAGGGAGACCCCATCTCAATCAATAAGCTGGGTGTGATGGATGTGCCTGTGATTCCAGTTGAGGGAAGCCATAGGTAAGAGGATCAAAATCTGAGGCTGGCCTGGGGCAAAACACAGGACCCTGTCTGAAAAATAACTAGAGCAAAAAAAGGCTGGGGGTGTGCCTCAAATGGTAGAGCACCTGCCAAGCGGAAAAAAAGAAAAGAAAAGAGCTTTTGTGCAGAGATGTGTCTGATTCAGTCTCAGCCAATCTTGTTAATCCCATGCCACCTTTAGTATTATCCCACCTTATTGGTTCTTATTCCCCCCAAATACTGCCCTAATCCCTTCAGCATTCCCAAACATCAGAACATTATGTTTATTAGCACATCAGGCACCATCAGCAGCTAAGCTGGATCCCCAAGACCACCTCCTTCCACTTCTACCCCCCCCACCTCCCAACTAGATGGCCCAGAACCATCACAGCACAGAGAACCCAGAGCCCCTCCTAGCACTTCAAGGCCTCCCTCTTGTCTTTCCTTAGGCCTTCAGCTCTGGCCATCACCTATAGTATCACCTTTCTCCTCTTCCTCCTCCTCCTCTTCATCTGCTTCTCAGAGCACCTGACGGTAAGGTGGGCCTGGGGGTGGAAGTGGCAAACTGGAGCCCTAGCCATGGCCTGGCCTGAAGAGGGCACCCCAGCCTCGTGGCTAAGACACCTGTGCTCCCTCCACAGAGGTGTGTCCGGAAAGGCCCCAAGATGCTTCACTGGCTGCCTTCTCTATCCAGTCTGGTGACCACACGGCCAGGACTACGAGTAGCCCTGGGCACTGCCACTATCCTCCTGGTCTTCACCATGGCCATTGCTAGCCTGGTGAGGGCAAAGAGGGTCTTATTCACCCCCATCATGACATGCTGAACCTGCCAGGAACTGAAAGGGGATCCTGGATCTGGGAGGACAGTTAAACTAAGGCCAAGGGATGCTAGAAATGTGCGTGTGTAAAGAAAAAAAGTATAGTCACCCACATTCCACCATCTGAACATAATCATTGCTAACACTTTGATGGATGCCCTTCCTATCTTTTTCCTATGTACACACTTATTACTTATTTGGCTTATTTTTATAGAACTTATCATTGTTCCTAGAATCTATCCCTGCAGCTGGTGGAGTGGCTCAAGTAGTAGCACCTGGGGACAAGTGTGAGGCTCTGAGTTCCAATCCCAGTACTGCCAAAAAAAAGAGTGGGGGAGAGAGAGGAAGGAAGGAAAGAGAAAGAGAGAAGGAAAGGAAAAGAAAGGAAAGGAGAAAGGGGAGGGGAGGGGAAGGGAGGAGGAAGAAAGAAAGAAAAGAAAGAATTATATCCCTGAAAAGACCTAGATATCTAGAAATCATCCCCCAAGTTACAAAAGAGAAAATTAAGACCCAGAAGGGTTAAGTGGCCAGCAATAGCTGACATAGTGGATCCATGGCAGACCAGTACTCATGACACCTTCCTACCATCCTCCTACCAGAAGTAGCAGGATTCACCCCTCATAGGAGGTTGGCCCTAACTCATCTGTAGGTCAACCAAAACCCAGCTGAAGCCACTATTGTGCCAAAGGAGTTACCTGCCCCTCAGCTCATCTCCTTCTGTAGTTCTTCTTACCAGCATCATCAGACTGTCCCTTCCTGACTCCCAATGTGTCATCCATGGCTTTCAACCTCTCCTGGGAGCTGCCCGGGTCCCTGCCTCTCATCAGTGTCCCAGTGAGTGTTCCTGCACAACCCCAGATCTCCTTCCCCAGACCCTTCGTCAGTCCCCAACTCCACCTCTTGAGCTAAAGAACACTCCATCCTATGGACTGGAATAGACATAAGTAAGACATACCTACCATCTGTTTGTGTGGGTGACAACCCCTATCCCCCAGATAGGCCTTGGGCCCTGGGAGGGACAGGACAGGAACCTTCTGGTGTTCTCCCACCCTTTCCTGTGGGACATGCCCACTCCTGACCACCTTGCCTGGTTCCACAGTACTCCATGCACTGCTGTGTGCTGGGTTTCCTCTCCTGCTCCCTCTTCTTACACATGAGCTTTGAACTGAAGCTGCTGCTGCTCCTGCTGTGGCTGGTGGCCTCCTGCTCCCTCTTCTTGTACTCCCATGCCTGGCTGTCTGACTGCCTCATCGCCCGCCTTTATCAAGGTTCCTTGGACTCCAGGTGAGAACGGTCACTTTACAGAGGTTCTCAGGCCTATGGGGATGGGGTGAGATGGAGCACAGAAGAGTTGTCCTTGCCTCACTGACATGAACCACCCACCAGGCAAAGGGGGAGAGGAGCTGGGGACTACATGGGCACTAGAGGCAGGGAGAAGGTCATGAAGAAGAGACAGAGCAAGGGACAACCTGATCTGTGATCTCCTCAGGCCAGGAGTGCTGAAGGAGCCCAAGCTGATGGGAACTATGTCCTTTTTCATCTTCTTCTTCACCCTCCTTGTCCTGGCTCGGCAGGTAAGTCACCCAACTCAGAACTCCAAGATCTCCCTATGAATGGTGAATCTGGAGTCCCCATATTGGTGACTCTCTCATCTCCAGGGTTAAACCCAAGTGGTGTGCTCTTTGGAAGCTTCAGTAAGCCTTCCTGTCCCTTTCTTGCTTCTGTACACCACAATTTCCTCAAGTTCTTCCCACCCCTTCCTCCTATGCCTAAATCTGGGAAAGGAGATGCTTGTTAGAAAAATCTGATCCCAGTTACTTCGGAGGCTGCGATCAGGAAGATCATAATTTGAGGCTAGCCCAGGCAAATAGTTCACAAGACCTCATCTCCAAAATAACCAGAGTAAAATGAACTAGAGGCAGGGCTCAAGCCGTAAAGTACGTGCTTTGCAAACACAAAGCCCTGAGTCCAACCCCCAGGCCAAGATGGAAGGGAGGGAGGAAGGAAGGAAGGAAGATCTGCTGCTGATTATGATCCCTGCTGACCCTCCCCAGAATGAATATTACTGCCGCCTGGACTTCCTGTGGAAGAAGAAGCTGAGGCAGGAGCAGGAGGAGACAGAGACAATGGAGAACCTTACGCGGCTGCTCTTGGAGAATGTGCTCCCTGCACACGTGGCCCCCCAGTTCATTGGCCAGAACCGACGCAATGAGGTAACTCCTGACCCCTGAATCCCAGATGTCAGAGGGACTAGATGAAAGTCTTGCCCATCCTCTCTAACGCCCCCACAGTGGGTAGGCAGTCAATTACCTAAGCCTTTATCCCTGTCAGATGCCTTCATTTTCATAAGATCTTGGGCTGTTTTTGGGGAGCACAAAATGTCTGCATTTTAATTTCTCACCTAGAAGGGGCATCTTTTCCAACTCATGGCCACTCCATACCTTTCAGAAGCCTATCAATTGTGGATGTGTGTTACCTGGAGGATATAGTCTACCCATCTCTCTAGCCTCACACTAGCCAATGTGAGAGCCATTAGTTATATGTAGCAATTCAATTTTAAATTTAAATTAATTAAAATTTTAAAATTCAGTTCTTCAGTTGCACCAGCTGTATTTCAAGTACTCAACAGCCACATGTGGCTAGTGGCCGCCATATTGAGCCACTCCACCAGCCCTTTTTCGTGATGGGTTTTTTCGAGATAGGGTCTCGAAACCTATTTGCCCAGGTTGCCTTCAAACCATGATCTTCCTGATCTCTGCCTCCTGAGTATCGAGGATTGCAGGCGTGAGTCCCCAGCTCCTGGTGATTTCCCAGACTTAAGTCTCCACCAACCTACTCTCTGTTCTCAAGATCAGAAGTAGTTGTACTTCTGCTTTCTTCTTTATAGAGACAGGGAATCTTATAACTGATCTTGTTGCTATCTTCACACTGGCTATTAGAAAGAAAGCTAAGAGCTAGAATCCAGGACACCCATTTTGGGAACCAACCTCAGATCTGATTCCATCTTTACCATTTTACCCTTATTTTCCCTTTGTTGTTTTATTTTATCTTCCAGATAGTAGCAATCTTTGTGAGCTAACTTAATTGACAAAATGCTTTTCACCAATAAGATATAAAAATAATTTCCACTGACATGATCCCAATTCTAGCTGTAAGACCCTTAATGTAGCTATGAAGTGATCTTGACCCCAAACTTCTGTCCCCTGGAATCACCAGGACAGCAAATCTTTGACTCCTAAGACACATCCTTGGGGTAGCCTGTGACTACTCCTCTCCTTCATTCTCAGTCTTTCATTTTTGTTTTTGTGGCACTAGGATTTGAACCACAGCCTGCTAGGCAGGAGCTCTTACCACTTGAGCCACTTTCCCCACCTTCCCAATCTTTCTTAATCAAAAGGACAGCCTGTCATTGTGGTGCATACTTGGAATCCTACTCAGGAGGCTGAGGAAGGACGGTGGCAAGTTTGAGACCAGCCTAGACTATATAGCAAGATCCTTAAAGAACAATAATTGCCAGACGCTGGTAGCTCACACCTGTAATCTTAGCTACTTGGGAGGCTAAGACCAGGAGGATTAAGGTTGGAGGCCAAATCAAGCAAATAGTTCAATAGACCCCCATCTCCAAAACAAAAGTAGCAAAATGGACTGGTGGTGTGGCTCCAGTAGTAGAGCGAGTGTAGATGGAGGGAAGAGTGTACTGTGCAGACTCAGAAAGGGGAAGAACATGACATGTGCCCTTACTCCAGCCTACTACCCCACAGGACCTCTACCATCAGTCCTATGAATGTGTTTGTGTCCTCTTCGCCTCAGTCCCTGACTTTAAGGAGTTTTACTCTGAGTCCAACATCAACCACGAGGGGCTGGAGTGTCTGCGGTTGCTCAATGAGATAATTGCTGATTTTGATGAGGTAACATCTTTTTTGTTGTTGTTAGGACTGGGGTTTGAACTCAGGGCTTTGTGCTTGCAAGGCAGGCACTCTACTGCTTGAGCCATACCTCCAGTGAGGTAACAACTCCAAGGGTCTCCGAGACCCTATGTCCTAAATGCTAGAATTTCCCACTAATCTCTCCTCTTGCCCATGAGGCTAAATCTATCCCCTAACCCTCCAGCACTCCCTCTCCTCTTCTGATGCCCCAGCTCTACCCTTGCCAATGACATTGCCCACTACCAGCTCCCTCCTTCTTGCCACCATCCACAACCCCATAGCCCTGTCCCTCTCCAAAGGCCTAGGGCCAGGCTTCTGGGAGGGGGAGAAGGAAAGAGCAAGAGAGAGTGGGAACGGCCTCTTCTCTATACAGCTGCTCTCCAAACCCAAGTTCAGTGGTGTGGAGAAAATCAAAACCATTGGCAGCACCTACATGGCAGCCACAGGCTTAAATGCCACCTCTGGACAGGACACACAACAGGTACAGCAACCCTTCCTTATCTAGCAACCCTCCTATGGGCTCTCATTGGTGGATTGGGTCCATAGGTGGATTTATTCCTGTGCCCTCATTGGCCCATCCTGGTGGGCGGGCTGTTGCCAGGATGCTGAGCGAAGCTGCAGCCATCTTGGCACCATGGTGGAATTTGCAGTGGCCCTAGGATCTAAGTTGGACGTCATCAATAAGCACTCATTCAACAACTTCCGCTTGCGTGTGGGTGAGGGATCACAACCCCCCCACCTAGGGTAATGTGGTTATGTGTGCCTCCTCACCTTCCCAAGTTTGTCTCACTCCAAATCCTTTGTTAGTGCTCCACCTCACTCTAGGACCCCCTCTCCAGACTCACTCTCTTGGATGAGGAATGAAACTGCAGGGTCAGGAGCTAGTGTTTCACCCATTCCATTCCCTAAGCCTCACTCCTCCATCCTGCCACCTTCCTCACCTTTAAGGCCCCCAGGCACTTCCTCCTCCCCAGTTCCTTTAGCTTCCTCTTCTTCTCTCCCTCTTTAAAGTTCCCCGCTTCAGGGCCCCTCTTGACCACATTCCTTGTCAGGATTGAACCATGGACCAGTAGTGGCAGGAGTGATTGGGGCCCAAAAGCCACAATATGACATCTGGGGCAACACAGTGAACGTGGCCAGCCGCATGGAGAGTACAGGAGTCCTTGGCAAGATCCAAGTGAGAGAACCACATTGGAGGCCTGGGGGAGAGGGCTAAGGTTACAGCCACACTGTACTCCCTCACCCCTCTCCAATCGCAGGTGACTGAGGAGACAGCTTGGGTTCTGCAGTCCCTGGGCTATACATGCTACAGCAGGGGTATCATCAAAGTCAAAGGCAAAGGGCAACTCTGCACCTACTTCCTGAACACAGACTTGACACGAACTGGACCTCCCTCAGCCACTCTAGGCTGAGCGCCGCCCCCCCACAAGACCTTCAATTAAGACACTATGGGATGTCTGGAGTGGTTGGTTTTTTTGTTTGTCTGTTTTGGTGGTACTGGGGTTTGAACTTAGGGCCTCACACTTGTTAGGCAGGTGCTCTGCCACCTGAGCCCCTCTGCCAGCCCTTTTTGGTGTTGGGTATTTTCCCCACAGGGTCTCCAGAACTATTTGCCCCAGCTGGCTTTGAACGGCAATCATCCTGATCTCTGCCTCCTGAATACTAGAATTACAGGTTTGAGCCATTGAGCCACGGGGGCCCAGCTTCAACTGATGTTAAGAGCTGCTGGATGTAACTGGGAATCACTTTCTCCTTGCCTCCTCAGTAGGATGGTTTCCTCCCAGGCCATCTTCCTAAAATGTTGTGGAGAAGAAACTGGCCCAAGGTTCTCTAAAAATAAGTCACCCTAGGAAATAGGGGTGCATCCCTCTCACTTTTGGGACTCTTTAGGCTGATGTGCAGAATTCTAAGTTTCAAGTGAGACCTTTTATCCGCACCTCCCCCCAGAACATCTGTTAAGAGGAACATCTACTGGTAGAAAACTGGAGACATGTTAACAAGGATACTTACACAGACTTCAGGGAAGACGTTTCACAGCAGTAGTGTTTTCTTAGGTCCCCTGAGTCATAGGTCTGGAGTCATGAGCTCACATGGGTGGTTTTCCTTGACAATCTCTTCTAGCAGTTGGTAGAACGTGTTTTTCTAAGTGGGATCTATAGCTACCTACTTCAAAATCACGAATGGTGTGTGTGCGTGGGGGGCGGTCTATGTCTGCCCTTATGTCCCTTCCAAAATTGTAAATCATGGGGAACTAAAGGCTGTGATTACCCACTATTGAGAGGGATCCCACCAGGGTGCACACCAGTGCTCCATAACACACACTCCTCATGCATAGGGTTGACCGATTTCAGACTTCAGTTTTAATTGTAAAACTGCCCCGGGAGCCTGGCCAGAGCATGTTCTCACAAAGTGCTGACTCGCCCCACCCCTCCCTCTGCTTCCGCTCCACCCCCGTCGATCCCCCACACTGGTTCTTCTCCTCCGGGTGCAGAATTGGGTCAGGCCAACGTAGGCATTCCCCGAGGAGAAAGAGAGCGTCCTTCCACCAGCCTAGCTCAGTTCGCTTCCCTTGATAGGGTCCGAGGACGCTGTGAGGCTCTCGGTGGTGCCAGGCTCCGCCACTACGGAGCCTGGCAAGTTCTGGCCAGGTTGCCCAGCCCTCATGGTCTGGCCCAGGGTGCCCCCACGGCGGGCACTGGAAAGCTCGGAGCCTGTGCCCTCCAGCAGCTTGGCCACGAAGCCCACGCCTGCGGAGCGCAGCAGGCCCCCGCCCGCGCATGCGTACAGCACGGGGTTCACGCTGCTGCTCAGGAAGGCCAGCGCGATAAGCACGTTGCGGGCCAGCGCCAGCCGCGGCCCCGCGGGCCCCGAGTGCGGGCTTAAGCCGGCCAGCGCGCGACCCGCCTCGGCCAGGTTCACCAAGTGATAGGGCAGCCAGAAAGCGGCGAAGGCCAGAATGATAAGCGCCACCAGGCGGCCGGTACGGCGACTGCGGCGGAAGCGCCGTGCCCGCAGCCTGCGCCCGATGTCGGAGTAGCTGGCCACCACCGCCGCGAAGGGCAGCAGGAAACCCGTGAAGGCCTCGAAGAGCAGGTGGAAGGCCCTGTGCCTTTCGCTGGGGTACTTGGCGAAGCATCTCAGACTCCTGTTGTTCAGTTCCGAGCTTACTGTGCGGTAGGCGAGGACTGGCGTGGCCAACACGAAGGACACCACCCAGATGCCTGCCAGCACCCACAGGGCAATCGCCTTGGTGCGCACCTTCTGGGACACGAAGGGACGGGCTACAGCCAGTGAGCGGTCCAGACTCATGGCCGTGATAAGCAGGACGCTGGCATACATGCTGACTCCACAGACATAGTGGCACAGGCGGCAGCCAGCCAGTTCAAAGCTCCAGGCGCCTCGGGCCAAGGAGTGTAGGAAAAAAGGGGCAGTGAGCAATACAGCCAGGTCCGCCAGGGCCAGGTTCAGCACCAGCAGGGCAGTGACTGAGCGCTTCCGCATCCTTTTCAGAATGCTCCATACCACAAAGCTGTTACCAGGAAGCCCCACAGCCAGCGCCACCGACAATAGGACAACAGCCAACAGAGATATGAACCTTAAACTTAAGGAAAAGGATGCCGCAGAAGATGTAGTGTTTGTAGCCATCACAAGGACCTGGAGAGTGAGGGTGCACACATGAATGAGGGTAGGCAGCCAGTTTTCCTGACACTCTTGAACACTAGGGACATCAGAAAAGTATACTGCCTCATCACTGCCAGCTGAAGTGTCTTCAGGGGGATCTGGTCAAGTAGAAATAATACTAGTTTCCTAATTTGTGTATGGGGCCCCTTCCTGCCCAATTGCAAAATATACATCAATGGCAACAGCGACAGCAACATTTCCAGACCTTTTTCAGCCTCTTTCCTTTGGGAGACCCCACAATTCAGGCTTCCTGACTGGAGACTTTCCTTGAAAGGCTAGCTCTCTCTGTCCTGTCAGGCCTTTAACCACCTAGCCCCAATCATATTCTCCAATCACTCAGTCACTATGCACAAAGATGACCAGGGTGCACCAAGAATAACAGTGATGGGGAGGAGTTAATGGACAGGCTTCAAGGACAAAACCTCCAAACTCCTTTTACACTGGTCAGGCTTTCTTTGAAGATTTGCACCTTCTCTCCTGGCTGCACCTGATAACAACAACCACCAACCACCCCGCCCTGCCCCCATCACTCTCACACATAAACACACATACACACACACACACCGTCCCCAGTCCCAAGATACTTACTGACAAGTTTTGCAGGTACTGATTGGAAGCTGCTGGCAATTCCAGGGTCAGAGCAAAATGTAGTTAGTCTCTAGAATCTGTTCTAGTGAGGGGCCTGGCCCTAGGTCTGGGTGCTGTGAGCTAAATCAGCCAGAGAGGAAGTACCATGACCGAGCATAGGACAGGGAGGACATATCTTCTTGAGGGTGGGGCTGAAACCCCTGCCCCCTCCCTTCACTAGGAGGAAGGATGTCTGTGTTCCAGGCAGCCCAGAATGGAGGACTCCTCAGGGGTGGGGCCAAATGAGAAGAGCCCAGGAAAGAGGGGGTATAAGGAGTGAGTCGGCTGGGGTGTGGTCTTAAGATGCAGGTCTAGACTGGAGAATTGAACAAGGTAATTAATTGTAACATAGAGGAAGGAAGGACACTGGAGAGGGAAATGGGCTCAGAATAAGAGGCTAAAATGCTGGTATCCAAACCTTTATATTTCACATTAAATGTCTGGGTACACAATGTAGATGTTTAGAACGCTGGGAAGTGTAGGTTGAAGCTATGACTAGGTTCTGGCTCTGGGTGTGGATTAGGTAGCATCATGATTTAAAAAGAGCATGTCAGTAGACAGAATGGACAGCACCCTATTCTTGGCTTCCATTCAAGCCATGATCTGGGTTGTGGGAATAGGGCCATCCCTCAGCAATTCCCATCCCTCCCTTCACTTAAAGGGATTGGGTCCATTCTAGGTCAACCAGTTTCCATTCTAGGTCCATTTTCTTTGGTAAAAGCCAGTCTAAGTGGTCTCCTTGGTGACTGCCACACAGAATTGTAATTTCCTCCCCTTCCCCTCCCTGCCACCTGTCTTGTGTTTGCCCATATGGTTACCCTACTAAGGTTGGATTTAAAAACTGGGTGCTTAAAGGAGATTGGCACCACTTCTTTCCTACATTCCCACAGCCAGGGTGATCCAGTTCCACCTCTGAGAGGCTGAGCTAGGCTGGGCTGAGAATGAGGAACCAGAAGTGAGGGTGCAGGGGCAGGGATACCTCATGTCATCCTTACCACTCCAGAAATGTGGAAAGAGAAATAGCCACCAAAGTGTCAGCCCTCCCCTTCTATGGATGAGAGGATGTCTCCTCTCTTTGAAGTCTCCTATAGAAGTCAAAATCTAAGAATGCCTTTTTGCAGTCTACCATGAGCCTTCTTGCTCCCCTTTCAACACCACCACTTCTCAGGAAAGATGCAAGGTGTAATTGTGGTCTTTGAGGTCTCTGTGCTTTCCTGCACCCCTACTTGCCCTGCATTGAGGAAAGCCAGAGCAGAGTTGACCCAGTAACTATCAGGCAGAGGATATGATGAAAAGAGGGCTGAAACCACAGCAAGAGCTGAAGGCAGCTTTGAGGAAGGGCTTTCTGACAACATAGGGTGTGTAAATGGGGACTATGTAACAGGAAGTTAGGGAACCTCAGCCTGAGAGCACCAAGAGAGGAAGAAGCCCAAGTTTGGGGATAGAGCTCCAAGGTCAACCAGAGCCCCTTCAGACAGGAACTGGTTGTCCTTGCCTCTTCTTTCAAGTTGCTCTTTACCCTATCTCCCTCAAGGGTATTCCCCCCTCCCCCACCCATCACCAAGGACTAACCTATATTTCCTGCTGCCCTAGTTGAGAGCTCACACCAACCTCAGTTTTGGTGAACCTGGAATGACCCTAGGATTAGATTTCCTTTACTCTCTTAGAGGATGTGAACATTTATTGAAGCAGAGTCTGGGGTGATGTCAGGGTAACTCAGGTGACCAATCTCATTTGCTAGTAGACTAATGGGGCAGGGACAAGAGATTTTTTATTGCTAAAACTGAGAAAGTTCTGGGGCCAACTAGGATGGATTGGATATGAATGCCCATGGATATCCTCTGAAAAGAATCCCATTTTACAGCCCCCAAATCAAAAATGCAAGACTGTGTGTGTGTGTGTGTGTGTGTGTGTTACTAGGGACTGAACCCAGGGCCTCGATCTTTCAAGGCAAGCACTCACTGTCCTCTGACGGTTTTTAGATGTAGCAATAGAGATTCCAAAATTGGGGGACTGAGAAGTACTGGAGGAGGGATTAGGAATAGGTAGTCTTGGAAGGAGGGAAGACCTAACAGAAAGAAACAAGAAAGAGAGGTGCCACCTCCCTGAAAAATTCTCTGTTTTCCAAATATTCTTGCCATTCTTCATTTCACCTCATCTCCAACCCCCAAATTTCCCCTGAGCAACTGCTGGCTTCTAGGGTCCCTCTCAAGTAGCTTTGGTGGGGAGGGTGAGATGGTGAGAAAGGAAGGTAAGTCTCAGATTCCCAGGCTCCTATCTCACTGTCCACTCCTGTGTACCTCTCTCCCACTGTACCAGCCACAAAACAGGCAGGAACACTTTCCTATTAAAGCCACATATTTACTTTCCCCTTCCAGAGGCAGTTTCTTCCCCAGACAACTCTCAATGACCCCAAAGTACAGATGTCATCTCCATCCCCTAGTCAAACTTCCATACCTTTCTTTCCTCTTTGTCCCTTTATTTCAAGAATGGTTCTATGAATAGGCCTAGGTAAATCAGGCAACCTGGGTGGGGAAGGCAGGCACTGAAGGCTGGCACTGTGCAGCCCTGGCCTGGCCCTTCCAAGAATTAGGTGGCTTCAGTACAACTCAGGCATGATGAACCGTCACAGAGAACACACTTAAGCCATCATCAAATGGCTTCCAGTGTATTTCACAACAATACTTACTAGCAACAAGTAAGCAGTACTGGCACATGGATACATGCCAATCTGCAAACACAATATTTTTAACATAGACCTTCATCACCCTCACAATCCCGCAGTTTGGAGGAAACTGGGCTTGCCCCAGGTGTATAATAATTCTGCCCAGCCAGATCCAAACTGTAGCCTCAAAATACTCCACCCAGAGCAGGGGCAATGGAAAGTAGTAGGGAAGAGCAGGCCCAGTTATTTGGTCAAGGATCCCATTCCTGGCTATCCCTCTCTATTCCTCCCCCCGGGTCCCCATTGCCCCCACCTTGCCCCACTACTTTTAGTCTGGGAGTAGTTCGGAGCTCCATGGTACCCTCCCTAGAGCGGCTGACCCCTCGGACTTCCCCCGAGCCCTCAAAGAGCCGTGTGAGAAAACGGGGTCCTGCCCGAGGTAGCAGATCCCCAGCCGTGAAGACGTAGAGCACTGGGTTAACGCTGGAGCTGAAGAAGGCCAAGGCGGTAGTTCCAGCCCGTGCTGCCTGGCCCGCCCCGCCGAGCCTGGCCAAAGCCCCTTCGGGTGGAGCGAGCGCTGCCAACACCTGCAGAAGATTGACCGCGTGGTAGGGTGCCCAGAGCAAGCCGAAGGCGAGTACGATGGCACCCACCAGGCGTCCCACCCGCGTCCGGTGTCTCTTGGCGCTCCAGCTGGCGCCCCGCAGCCGCACCAGCGTCACGCTGTAGCAGCCGATCACCAGCCCAAAAGGAAGGACGAAGGCGGTCAGAGTCTCCAGGCTCAGGTGAGCAGCAGCATGCGCTGGCGTCGGGTGGCACAGCTGACACACGCGGTCGCCCCAGAGGTGGCGGTAGATGGCCGCCGGGAGGGCAAGCAACAATGCGGCCACCCAGACTGCCAACAGCAGGCGGCGGGCCAGGGCCGGGCTGCGCAGCCGGGGCGCCAGGAAGGGCCGAGTGACGGCGAGGCAGCGTTGCAGGCTGAGCAGGCTGGTGAGCAGCACGCTGGCGTACATGCTGAGTGCGCACACGTAGTACACCGCCTTGCAGCCCACCTGACCCAGCGGCCACGCCTGCCCTGTCAGGAAGACCACGAAGAGCGGAGTGAGCAGTAGCACCGCGCCGTCGGCCAGCGCTAGGTGCAGCACCAGTGTGGCCGCCAACGGCCGCCCCCTTGCCGGCCGCCAGCCAGCCAAGCTCCACACTACAAAGCCATTGCCGGGCAGTCCCAGCAACGCTGCCAGCAGCAGGAAAGCCGTGCCTGTAACCCGCGAGGCCTTCCAGCTCAGCAGCGTCTCGTTCCCCGGGGGACGGTAGCAGACTGACATCCTTCTTTTCCTATAAGAGGCTGGAAAGGCCCACATTACCTTGGATGCAAGGAGATAAGGGACTGTGCCTCTGACCCACTTGCCTGAAGCAAGCCTCCCTTCTGTCCAGAAGCCTTGGCTTACCCCAGGCCCCAAGACCCTAATTCAAACACCACCCCTTCTTAGAACCCAGATCCCCTGCTCCCAGTCAGCTGACCTCCCCCCACTGCTGGACACCTCCCCATAGCCCAGTGCTATCCAGACACCCAGTCCTCATGCAGGGCTTTAACTATCTCCACCTCCACCCCTCTGGCCCAGCCCCATTCCCAATACCTGGGGGCAAAAGTGGGCGGTGGGGAGTAAAAGAGCATGGACAAATCTACTTACCCACTGGGAGTAGGCAGGGTTGAGGGCCTGCAAGAGGCCTAGAGAAAGTGAAAAGTGAAGCAGCAGTGGGTGAGGTGCCTACTCCTGTCCTATGCCTCTCACATTTGCAGAGGGTGAGGCAGGAGTGAGGAGGGACAAGATGGTGCTCATCCTCGGCCTTTCCTGAGGCCCCTCCTTCACCCTGCTCCTTCCCATCACTAACAGGCCCAAGCATGTGGGAGCCTGCCTCCCTAGGAAACAGGATAAGGCTGAAGGGGTACAGATAAAGTGCTCTGGCTCTGGAGGGGAGCAGGAACACTCTGGAGACTGACCCTGGGCCTGCTCTCACCCCACCCTACCCCACCCCACCCCCATCTCTGTCCCCAATCCTTCCAATCCACTTTTTGCAGTGCTTATGTTCTCTCACCTTCCTGGCCTAAACTCAGCAGAGAAAGGGACCCTAACACCTCTCTCCTAGCTTCTCTCTTTGCCTGTTTTCAGCCTCTCACTCCTGCTGAGCCCCCTTTTCCCTCAGCTCTTAGCCTACCCAATCCCATCTCTTGCTTTGGACCCTACTCAAGTCCTCCACTCTGAGTTCTCACTAGGTTTTCAGTGGAAGGCATAGTGCTAGGTCCTGGGGGCAAGGTGGAGGGGGATAGGGTGTACATAGAGGTATATAAGGCTTATAACCTGGTTGGGGAGTCATAACACACAATCATGAGACCACACTTCCAGGCTGCACCAGGATATAGGACAAGGAAGACAGGGAAGGAAGAGACCTCTGCCCAGTCAACAGCCAGGACTGGGGCTCCCTGAGAACAAGGACACCAGGAACATTTAGTTTGTTTTCCACAAAGCGAAGAATGAGAAAAGTACATGGGTATGGGGAATTCTATGCTTGTTTCGGGTTTTTTGGCAGCACTGGGGTTTGAACTCAGGTCCTCACACTTGCTAGGCAGGCACTCATACTACTTGAGCTACTCTGCCAGGCCTTTTCTGTGATGAGTTTTTCAACACAGTATCTTGAACTATTTGCCCAGGGCTGGCTTCAAACTGCAATCCTCCTGAGCTCTGCCTCCCAAGTAGCTAGGATTATAGGTATGAGCCACTGGTGCCTGACTCAATCCTATACTTGGAAGGTCAGCTCAGGAAGCAAGAGTGAGGGAGCAGGGGAAGATGGGAAAGAAAGCCAGTAAGAACCTGTTATTGTGTTCCTTAGGTAGGCATGGAACCTCTAGAAGTGTACAGAATGCCCAAAACAGAAGAGTGGGGCATGCTATATCATTTGAGGATTACGCTAGAAGTGTCAAGCCCCTGTATTTTCCCCTTGCACTTGTAAGGGTTTGAGTGAGGTGCCACAGATTTTGACAAGGCTTCTTCCACCTTAGCCAAACTCACAGCCAAAGTGACACCAAAAGCATGCAGGAGAGTTCCTAGAAGTAGTGCTGTAAATCACCCCAAGAATAGGGCCATGTGGGATTCCAAAGAAGGAAGCACTAGATGTCAAGGCAATCGGTCTAAAGTGTTTACAGAAGTGGGCTTACAGAGTAGTCTGTAATCATTCTCTTGACACACAGGAAAAAGAAAAGATGTTCTGTCTACCCTCCTGCCACAAAGGAGTTCAGGGTATGGAGTTTGTGAGAGTTTCAAGGAATTTGGTTTAGGGCTGAGGCTAGTTTCTTTCAGTGTTTTTGGCAACAGTGCCTGGCAATGTTCAATGTGCAGACTTAGGCTCAAGTCTGCACAAGAAATGTAGCTGGCCTGGGTCACAGAGTAGTCAAGGCATTTTGCGTCTCTCAGATCACAGAAAGTAAGCTGGGGAACTGGGGACTCTGTAAGGCTCGCAGGGAGGAAAGTGGGGATTCTGCGCATGTGGGGGGTTTACTGTCAATAAGTCCAAGTTTGTGTGCAATTGTCCATCACAGCTGCAAATGAAATCAAAGAGGGGACACAGGGGCACCAAAAGCTAGTCCTGATGCCATCGTAGGACACTCCCTCATCCATATCTCCTTCATTTCCATTAACTGGCAAAAAGGAAGAGGTGAGAGAGGTGACTACTCCAGGGTCACTGAAGCAAGTTCTGGAGAATGAAGCCAGCCCAATAGGAGGAAGAAGGTAAGCAGGAAGGCCAGGGTAAAGGTCAGGATCCTGATTATCCTGGATCCATGGGTCAGAATCAGCTTCTCCCCACACAGCTCCCAGACTCATTGCCCCACTTCTCATTTTTTTCATGCCTTGCCCAAGCTCCCACTGTTTCCCACCCTGAGCAAGTTTCCCCCACTCTCAGCCCAGCCTTTCCCAAAAGCAGCAGCTTATGGACTTTCCAGTACATGGCAACACAGTGTGTCAGATCACATGTGATTTAGCTTCTCTGAGGTTAGGAGTCAGACACTGTTCCTAGAAAATTATCTCCACAGAAATAAAAACACAAGGTCACATTCCATCTTTTTACATAGTTCCTAGTTACCCTACACACACACACACACACACACACACACACACACACACTCACATCACACACACTTCTAGGGATTTGCTGGGAGTCCTACTTCTACCACCTTATCTAGGCCCCTCCTCTTACCTCCTCTTGGACTTTGTCCTCATTAGTGGCCAGGCAGGGGGACCAGAGTCCAGGCTTGACTCATCTCCCCTCAACACAGCTAAGATCCCAGCTTCATAACAGAAAATAACACTTCAGCCTCAGCACAGCCGAGAATCATTCAGCCCAGAAGCCACAGGGAGGCAACTCTCCTACTCCTCTCCACCATGGACTATCTCTCAGCCTTGAGCCCCAGTGGCCTACTCAGGTGACTTCTAACCTTCCTCTTTACACACCAATTTTGGGGATACCGGCAAGTAGGACAAGACATTTAGTGTCCAGGAGACTCACTTCCCCTCTTACCCCCTTCTCTACACATCTGTCCAACACCTGAACCACTGCCCCTCCCCCACTTCCTGGTCTCTCCTTTGGCTAATTTGGAAATTGAGAGCCCTCCCTTCCTTAACCCTCCAGCCATCCCACCCCCATCATCTCCACTACACTCACCAAGCTCTTCTCACCCTTCTGGCCCTTTCTTCCCAACTATCAGGTCAGTATCCAATATGAGCTCAGAGTTTGGCCGTAGGGTCTGGACCTCAACTCCACCACCTCAGCGACCTTTCCGTGTCTGTGACCACAAGCGGACAATCCGGAAAGGTCTGACAGCAGCCACCCGCCAGGAACTGCTAGATAAGGTGAGTGAGCCAAGTTCCTGGGTTCCTATAGCAGGGGCAGCCAACGGGCTGAAGAATAGTGACAACTTGGGATGGTGGAACAGACAGAATGGTGGAATAAAAAGCTATTGAGTTATCAAGGTCACCATGTAGTGGACAGAGTACAGATGAGGTACCCCTCTCTCTAAGGCTAAAGGCAGAGGGTAAGCCCAGTGGCCTCTGTTGCATTTGGGTGAATTTGTTTCTTTTCCAAGTAGTGGGCTTTTCTTGGGAAGTAGGAAAGCAATAGATAAGGGAGAGCTGGAGGGATGGAATTCAGAAGTATGGAAAGACAATTTGTATGAAAAACCAAACTTAAATCCTGATTTTGCTACTTGCTGTCAAACCTTGGTAAGTTATTCAATCTATCAAGACCTCAGTTTCTTCATCTGAACAAAGAGAATAATGAGCCATCTCCTAAGATTATTAAAAGGAATAAAAGCACATTAGTATGTAAAGTCCTCATAGATACCTAGCACACAGTGAGGCCCCCAAAACGTTAAAAAAATCACAGTTACTAAAAGGTTGTGGAGAACACTAAAAATGGGAGTGAGATGAGACACTGTAGGCAACAAGACAGAGGCAAGATTTCAAGAGAACCTGACCTCACACTTGATTTCAAGAGTGCTTGACAGGTGCTTACCACTGAAGCCACTCTACCAGCCCTTTTTTGTGTTGGGAGTATTTTCAAGATAGGGACTTGTGAACTATTTGCCCTGACTGGCTTCAAACTGCAATCCTCCTGTCTCGCTGGAGTAGCTAGGATTACAGGTGTGAACCACCGGCAGAGCTGTTGTTTTTGAGACGAGGTCCAAAGTTGTCCAGCCTGGTCAACTTTACTCTCCTAGGCGCAAGCAGCCCTCCTGCCTCGGCCTCCCTAGTAGTTGGAACCACAGGAATGTGCTTCCACACCTAGCTCCTGGCTAGATTTAAAAATTCTAAACCTGTAGACTTTGAGGGGAGGTGAAAATGATATAGCAGGAAGAGCAAGAGAGTCCCCCAATGATTAAAGGACATTGAGAGCTGCTGGCTGGAGAAGGGATAGCAAAGCACCAGAAGTAGAACTGAGATATCAACCAGTATCTAGGGCAAACATTGGTCATTGCTTCTTACCACTGGGCAGGCACTGGAGACCCTGCTCCTGAGTGGAGTACTAACACTGGTGCTGGAGGAGGATGGGACTGGCGTGGAAAACGAAGACTTCTTCCAGCTGTTGGAGGATGACACATGCCTGATGGTGCTGGAGCTAGGACAGAGCTGGAGCCCCCCCAGGGTGAGAAGCCCATACTGAGGCTCCTTAGATCACCATCCTTTCTAGCTCTCCTAAGCTTCTTCTCTGGCCTAACCCTGATCTCAGAGGCAGAGGCACGGGGAGAGCTATTGAGCTATCAAGGTCACCATGTAGTGGACACAGTCCAGGAGCAGGGAGGTCCAAACCACAGCTAATGGGGTTAGTGGTGGGTGTCAGGTTGAGGGTCCACCATACTGATGGGAGTACCCTACAGAGTGGGGTACTGTTATATGGCCTGGGCCGAGAGAAGCCAAAGCACAGCAAGGACATCGCCCGCATCACCTTTGACATATACAAGCAAAATCCTCGTGACCTCTTTGGCAGCCTGAATGTAAAAGCCACATTCTACGGACTCTACTCTATGAGTTGTGACTTTCAAGGAGTTGGCCCCAAAAAAGTACTCAGGTCAGAAATCAACATGTCCTATAACCCCATCCCCTACAGTTGGATAGTCACCCTCTCCTGCACCCACTTATCCCATTAGCTCTCCCTTATAAAAACCCTCCAGCCCCTAGCTCAATGGCCTTCTCTGGGACTCCCCTATTTATTTAATTTCTTCTGATCTCTCCCCTTCAGGGAGTTCCTTCGTTGGACCTCCACGCTGCTGCAAGGCCTGGGCCATATGTTGCTGGGAGTTTCCTCAACCCTTCGCCATGTAGTGGAGAGGGCTGAGCAGTGGCACCAGCAGGGTCACCTCCATTCCTACTAAGCAGGGGCTCAGATATTTTGTTCCCAGACTTGTTCTGTAAGACACATTATGAAGTCTGTAACAGCATCAGGTTTTGGTACCTGCAGACAGTACAGGATGGATAACTCGCCAGATTTCCCCACTGTCCTCTGACCCTACTGTGACAGAACCTGTCAGCAGACTGCCCTACTCCCCCAGCGTATACCTTTCCCTAAAGAATGCTGCACATCCTAGCCATACTCCCGCCTCCTACTTACCCTGAAAGGCCACAAGCCAGTCCCCAAGCATCCTTATCCCACTCTGACTGCTGCCACATCTAGATTCTTACCAACTCCTCTTGTCGCTAAGATCCCCAGTACACTGATGACAGCCCTCTCTGATATTACCTTAAGATCTCAATTTCTTCATACCTTTCTCCTAAAAACCAAAAACATCTCTAATAAAAATATAAAAACATTTATGCCAATTAGACTTTTTTTTTTTTTTTTTTTGGAGACAGGGTCTCCCAAAAGGTTTAAGGCCCAGGCTGGCCTCAAACTCACGATCCTCCTGCCTCAGCCTCCCAAGTGCTAGGATCACAGACATGCACCACCATGCCCAGCTCCAATAAGACCTTTGACTCCAACTTAAACCAGGAAGGAATTGAACAAGTACTCTCTTTTGCCCTTTTCTTCAACATCCAGTCCCAGATCCCAAGGCCTCAGTCTTCAAGAATTGAGTTCAATGCCCGCCTCCGCTTGGCCACTGCACTCTGCTGCTGTTCCCAAGCTTCTCGTCGCTTCAGAAAGGTAGTCAGGGCCACATTTCGAGCCACATGGTGGCCAAAAGGGTCTCTTATCAGCTCCTGGTTCTGTTCCCCTGCAAAGGAAAACCACTCAGGCTTAGTGACATCCATGCTCAAAGACAGATTCTAGTTGGATAAAGACCCCTCCATTTTCTTCTGATCCTGGGACTGCCACTGGGATGGAGCAAACACTTCACTCTTCAAAGAACAGAAGCCAGGAGGAGGGGTGACAGTAAAGGACTGTACAATCAGTCAGCAGAGGAGAAGGCAAGAGCAGATTGCTAAGAACCCATGTCCAAGACCACCCTTTGGAACTGAAGTCTGTTGAATTCAAGTTCATTCCTCAGCCACCCAGCTATCTGGCACAAGAGAAGGGAAAGTTTGGAAACATCAGAGAAGCACTGGTACTCACCCAACTCAGTAGCAATTTCCTTCCGGGCCCCCAAGGCTGCTCCACTCCAGATAGCATCTAGCACACGGCTGCCATGACGGCTACAGGCCAGAGCCACATATTGTCCCTGTATTAAGACAAACAAGGTAAGTTCTTCTAGGGAAGTGTACAAAAGTTTTGGGGGTGGGGAATAAAGCTTCAGAAGGTTAGGTGGGGTCAAAACAGTCCAAGAACCGTTTCCTCTCTTCCACTCTGAAGACACAGTCCTAGGGGAAGCTTGTTTTCTCTAAATGATTGACAGAGGAGAATCAAGCAGAAGTTTAGAAGTCTAACCTTTAGGGTCTGCAGCACACGGCGGCGCTGCTTGCGTGTCACAGAGGGGCTGGTCAGAATGGCATCAAGCACATGGGAACCAGCAGGGCTTTGGGCCAGAGCCAGAAGCTGTGGCCCTGTCAAGGCACCCAGACTTCCAAGTACAAGACCAGGGGTGGAGAAGTGCAGCAGATGCTGGAGCAGAAGAGACCCAAGTACTGTCACTTTTCCCAAGGCCCTGGCTGTGGCCATTTCCACCTGGGAACAAAGAAGTAGGAAATTAGGAAGCAGTGTCCAAACCAGGTGGATAAGCTCATCCCCAGGATACTGCCACCTTTGCTTGGATGAGGTTGGAAATCTCATCACCCTCCCCAAGGGGCTTCCCAATCCCTGAGAAGTCTGGCCAATTAATCACTGGCTTAGCCTCCTCCCTGCTTCACCTGGTGCTCTGCAGGTACTGCCTCCTCCTCCTCAATTAGTTCATAGTACACCTCATAAGCTGTCAAAGTGGCAAAAAGAGGAACACAGGCCACTTGCCGGGATGAGGGCTCTGCACAGTGGAATGCCTAGAAGGGAAGACAAAACATGATGACTCTGAGAGCTACCCCATCCCCAATCTCAACTTTCTGGACAGGAAAAATGAGAAGGCCTAACTCTACAAAAAAGTAAACTCCATGAGGGCAGGATCTCATCTGCTTTGCTGTACCCCAACCTCTACACATATAACAGGAGCTGACTAACCATGTACCCCTAAACTTTTCTCTCAGTTCTGGAAGATAATTTTTCAATCCAGGGTTGTATGATGGCTCTTGGACTCATTTTTCCTTCTCTCTATGAACTTCCTTGGCAGTAGACCTCTTGAGTGCAGATTAGATAAGTCCTAACTCATAGAATTGTACCAAGGGCAAAAATGGGTTGCAAGTAATACATACTTACCTCCAACAACAGCTGCAAGACCTGGGCTTGGTGAGTCCCAACTCTGCGGCAGGCCCCCACAAGGGCAATAACTACACCTGGGTGGCCCTGAGCCAGTACAGCTTCTAGGACAGGGCTCAGCTCCTCAAACACGGAGGACAGCTGAGAGGAAAATGGGATAAAGAATCTTAGGCATTGTGGTAATAGCAGACTAAGTTATTCAGAGACATCTTCCTTCTGAAAACAACTAAAAGTGTCAAATAAAATAAAAAAGTATTTCCAATGTCAGGACTTTGGTTTGGCTGGGTAAGGCCCTGGACAAGGGGGAAGTCATAAAGGTGCCACCTAAGGGGACTTTAAATAGCCCCTCTGTAGGTGCAGAGGAGAACTAGGGGTAAGAGAGAACTAGAATTACACCTGCCCTTCCATTCCAAATCCCAACCCAGAGAGACCACAGGAAAGCCCATCTTGGTGCTAAGCAGCAGGGAAAAGAGAAGCAAAAGCAATGGCTTTCGTGCTCATGTGAATTTGTACCCAAGTGCCCAGAGTCTGGGTGGACCATAGAAGTTCAAGCTGAAAACTTGAATTAAGCCAGTCTCCTAGTGAGGCATGGTGGTACATTCCTGTAATCCCAACATTTAGGAGGTTGAAGCAGGAGGTTTGTGAGTTTGAGGCCAAGCTAGCCTCAGCTACACAGTATGACCTATATTGGGGGGGAACCTAAAGGCATGGCTCAAGTGGTACAATGTTTGCCTTTGCATAGCAAGCACAAGGCCCTGAGTTCAAACCCCAGTACTGCCAAAATAATAATAATAATAAAACAAACTTCTTCATGGGCCAAGTGTGGTGGCACATGCCTGTAATCCCAAATACTCGGGAGGTGGAGATCAGGAGGAACATGATTCAAGGCTAACTTGGACAAAAGTTAGTGAGACCCTCTCTCAACAAATAAGCTGGGCATGGTGGTAAACAACCATAATCCCAGCTATGTGAGAGGCATAGGTAGGAGGATTGTGGTCCAAGGCTAACTCTGGGCAAAAGCACAAGACCCTATATAAAAATTAACTAAAGCAAAAAAGGAACAGTGGAAGAGCCCCAGCCTAACAAGCATGAGGACAAGTTCAAAACCCCAGTACACACACACACACACACACACACACACACACACACACACACACAAAGGCAGTCTCCTACTGGTAGTCATACCTCTGGGAGGAGGGCACCTTTATACTAAGCTCTGGAAAACCCTGAGGTTAACTTTACAAGGGGCAATGAACAATACACTGTCAGAGACATCCAAGCACACTATAAAATAAGACCCAACAAACAAGAATAGCAGAAAGAGACCCAGTCAAGTTTCCCCCTCACCAGCTGAGGGGTAGTGATTGCATCCAACAAGCGTTGCAAAGGGAAGTTTGCAATGGGATGTGCAGCCAAGGTCTGCAGCTGACCCTGGAAGTGATCCTCAAAGAGGCTCTGGAGCCTGGGGGCCTCCAACACCAGCAGTACTTGCTCCAAGAGTCTGGAGCTTGTCTGATCCCGCAAAAATAGTAGTAGGGGGCTGGAGACAAAAAGAGCATAAAGCAGTTTTAACTCCACTTCATTTAAAATGCAGCTGCACCACATCACCTCATTCATTTTACACAGCCCCACCAACTGTGGTCAGTCCTGAGGTCCTGACCATACCTGCCATCTGCTGAGGAATTGCAAGTACTCAGGTAGCCAATCACAGTATTGCAAAGATGGGCACAGAACTGAGGCAGTTTACGGTGTAAGATCTGTAAGGCCACTTGAAGGCAGAAGCTGGAGATCTTGTCAGTGATAAACACTGTGGGGAGAAGGCAGAAGTAATTAACGGCTTTTTCAAAGGCCTGACACCTGTACAACCTCAAACCTTAAGCAACAAAGAGGACTACGTACACAAAAGCATCCATATAGTGTTTTGCAACAACAAATCAGACCAGGTTTGAAGAGGAATGACCTGCCCTAAGGGCCCTGGTTGGAGGTAATCTCCTCTAGCACAGTAGATCCAGACCCAATTCCTACTTCCCTTCTTACCAGCAATGTCCTTGAGAAAGCAGGAGCTCAGGTCCTGAAGGTGATTCAAGAATGTGTCAGGAACTTCAAAATCAGTAGGCTTACATTCTTGAGCTGAGGCCCTCTGTACTTCTGAGAAAGATCAAGAACATGTGCAGTGGTGAGATTACAACCTGCCATCCAGAACAGAGAAGAACTCCACAGATCAATGAGGATTCAGCTTGCAATACAGAACAGATGAATGTCTCCTCTGGATGACTAAACTGAAATGACACTTCTTTATTTTTTTGGCAGCTCTGGGATTTGAACTCTCAGAGCCTTGTACTTGTTAGGTAGGCACTCTAATACTGGAGCCACATCTCCTGTCTTGAAATGACATTTCTGTTTAAATTTTCTAAGGAACTTCAACCAACCTTCCTGTGGGCCACAGAAGATAGTACAAACTCCTCAGCCAGGCAATCCAAAATCAGGCCTCATTTAAACTTTCTGGCTGGGCATGGTGGTATATGGCTAATAATCCCAGTTAGGTAGAAGGTGAAGATAGGAGGATGCTGTCAGAAGAAGGCAAAGTGGTGGTGGTGGGGCAGGGGAAGCAGCAAGACCTGGGGGCATGGCTCATGTAGTAAAGCACATGCCTAAAGGGGGGAAAGGGGGAGAAATGACCCAAACATTGTATGCACATATGAATAAAAAATAAACAAATAAATAAAATTAAAAAAAAAAACCACATGCCTAAAAGCACAAGGCCTTGAAGTCAAGCCCAGCACCACCAAATAAACTTTCTAACTTATTTCCCAGAGTTTTCAAAATGTAGGTCACAGCCTATGACTGTATCATAAAATCAAGTTAGTAGTCTCAATCAGTACTTTATAAAAAATGAAATAGAGGGCTGGCAGAATGGCTCATGTGGTAGAGTGCCTATCTGGCAAAGTGGGAAGCCCTGAGTTCAAACACCAGTACCACCCGAAAAAAAGAAAGAAAGAAAACAATTTGATATATTGTAAGAACTTTTGTAAATGCCACAATGTACCCCCACCCAGCACAACAATAAATAAAAAAAAGGAATGAAGCAGAATAAAATTTAAAAACCACTAGGTGCTGGTGGCTCACACCTGTAATCCTTGCTATTTGAGAGGCTGAGATCAGGAGGATTGAGGTTTCAGGCTAGCCCAGCTAAGAGTTTGTGAGGCTCCATCTCAAGCAATAGTTGGGCATGGTGGCATGAGCCTGTCAACCCAGCTATGACAGGAATCCTAAAATAGGAGGATATGGTCCAGGGAAAAAGCAAGATCATATTTCAAAAATAACCAGAGCAAAAAAGGGTTAGATGCAAGTTTAAGCACAAGAGTAGATAAACCAGGGTTCTAACCCCAATAAAGTATATATATATATAGAAAAATATCAGAGTGCTGCATATCGTAAGGGTTTTGCTTCCTGAACTTCTGCTTGAGAGCAACGTGTATATACACACATACATGTTGAGTCATGTTTAAAAACAAGTTTTTACTGTGGGTTGTGGTACAAAAAATTTGAAATTCATTGCTCTAAATTAATCACCTCTTCCTGCTGCCCCTATGCTAAACAGGTGTGCATTCTTACCTCTGGGCCTCTGTACACACTATTCTTTGTTCTTCTAAACTGTGCCCTAATATCTCTGGTAATTATTCAAGGCCAAACTTTCACCATAATGACTTATTCTTCCGGTTACTCTCTTCTGAACTTCCCACCAGTTCCACCTCCCTTTCTTGTAATACTTACCAGATGATTGGGAGCCACGGGGCCTGACTCTCTCAGACTCCAGGAGTGTCCCTCCCAACACCTGCAGCAGTGTCCTGACCACGAAGCTGCCATGTGTGTCTCCACAGTAGAAAAGAAAATCACCACACACCTCTGAAGCTAGTCCCAGAACCAGTTCCTCCAGGGTCTCCAAGGGACCATCCTTCTCCTCCTCCTCCTCCTCCTCCTCCTCCTCTGCAGGACTCCCCAGCAATCGAGGCAGCTGCAGCAAAGCACTTTGCAGTACATGGACCCCGCACCGATGACAGGCCACAAAGCGCAAGTTGGAGCGCAGAGCTGCCCATACTCGACACAACGGTTTCAAAGGACTGAACCCCAAAAGTTCCTGCAGCATCTCACTGCCAGTTCTGTTTGTGGCCAAGGCTAGGGCCTGAGTCTCCACTTCCTTCAAAATATTGTGCACCATCAGCTCTGAAAAAACGTGGAAAACAATCATTTAAAGCAACTGAGAAGAGAATAAGGTTATGCTCCATCACTTTAACAAGGGGCAAAGGACAGAGATCGAGGAAGAGGACATAAGAAGTAAAACAAAGTCCCCACGCCCTGGGGACCCCAGAAAGTTTCCTTGCATGTCCTGGGCTTTATGCACTTGGTCCCAACCCTCAGTTGCTCCCTACCTCGTTCTTCCCCGGCCTCGGGAGCCTCTTTCAGAGTTGACAGCGCCCGCCGGAAATACCCCAGAGCTTCGGGGCTCAGCTGCGGGAGGGCATCTAGAGCGGGCTCTGAGTGCCGGCCCGCAGGCGGCTGGGGATGCCGTTCGCGACCTGGTGGGGGACGCCCCGACCCTCTGCCCCCGCGCCCACGTTTGCCGCCAGCTGGGAACTGGCGCCCTGCCATGTGAGGGAACCGCGGACCCAATCCCATGTGTGTTTCGAACCGCAGAAGAGAAGGGCTCTCCCCGCCAGCAGCGAGCCTGGTCTTCGCCGACTTCCGAAGTTCCGGCGTGTTCCAGTCGCAGAGCTCTACGTCATGACTCCGCGACGGCCCGGCCAGGTGCAGTGGGTGTGGCTTCCGTATGACCCGCCCCCATTTGCTTCAGAACCCCGCCTCCTTGGTTCCTGCCCAGAATCGTCCTGGACTCTATCAAGAGATGCTTTAGCCTCACCTGCATGTTTGCCCGAGCACCACCTACTAGCAGTTGAACTTCCGCTCGATCCTTTCCTTAGTCATTTCGCTCCTCCCGTGGTCCGAAGCAAAGTTCTCGAGCTACAGGTCTGGTGAGCTAGACCGCTAAAGGACCGCAGAGAAAGCGCCCTCAGCAGGTAAGGCGCAAGTTCTCCCCACTTCGGGCTCAGGGTCGGGGCTTCGCGGTTCACAGCGCCCGAGCTTAGCCGCCCTGGGGCCAGGGGGGTGGCAGAGCTACCAGATAGCCCAGGACTCTGTCTGCCTCGCCAGAGTCCCCACCTAATTACCCCTGTCCGAGCGTCGCAATAGGTGTGTAGCCCTGGAGAGCCCCCATCCCGCTCCCTTTTCAACTCCCTGGGCTACCCAAAAGGGACAGTGATCCTGGCCTGGGGCCCGCACTCAGTTGTCCACCTCTGAAACTTCTGTCTTAGAATTCCAGCCCCATCTCCTCCTTCTGTCTCTAGCGGGGTCCCGCCTCCACGCACGATCTGCACACTTCCCTCCAAGCAACTCTTTGCCTTCACAGATATCCCCCTTTGCCTGGGAATCATGGTGGCTCCCATGAAGGGCCAAGTGTGTGTGGTGACTGGTGCCTCCAGAGGCATTGGCCGTGGCATTGCCTTGCAGCTCTGCCAAGCAGGTGCCACGGTGTACATTACTGGCCGCCACCTGGAGACCCTTCGGGCCACTGCTGAGGAGGTGAGTGGTCAGCTGAGGAAGCCTTTCCAGTTATCCACTTCTAATCTCTTAACCTGACACCATAATATTCCTCAACAAAACATGAATACTTGGAGTAGAATAAATGAACCCCATAAATAACTTCAGGTAAGACTGAATTTTCCCAAGTGAATTTTATGGAACAATAACAAAAAAAAAATTTCTATTTGAGAGCTTCAGAGGTTTTGGATTTGCAACCAAAGTGTTTTATACCTGTGCTTCCTCTGTTTTAGGCAAGACTTTATTGAACTGTACATTTTCATTTTTTACTGAGTATCAGTAGAATAATTACTTGAGCTGGACGCTGGTGGCTCATGCATGTAATCCTAGCTACTCTGGAGGCAGAAACCAAGAGGATCATGGTCGAAGCCAGTGGGGCAAGTAGTCATGGAGACCCTTTCTTGAAAAAACCCATCACAAAAAAGGGCTGGTGGGTAGCTCAAGGTGTAGGCCCTGAGTTCAAACCCCAGTACCAATAAATAAATACTTGAGCAATCCCACTGGGGTTACCAAGAATAATAATATTTAGATAATAAGGGGAGCAGTTAGGGAAAACATTCTGGAAAAGGTGATCCTTGAACTGAGTCTTGAAAGATAAGAATTAGGTAAAGGAGGTTAGGAAAATCATTCCAACAGAGTTACATGAGCAGAGGGAAAATGAGTTGGTCTCCATGAGGTAATGCAAGGGAGGAGTAGTGGATGAGAGGCCAAAGAAGACTAGCCCCTGATAAGACAAGGGGCTGAGAGTATAGCTTAGTGGTAGAGTGCTTGTTTGGCACATGTGAGACTCTGGTAAAGAACTTAGACTTCAGCCAGGTGCCAGTGGTCACATCTGTAATCCTAGCCACTTGGGAGGTTGAGATAAGAAGGATCAAAGTTCCAGGCCATCCTGGGTAAATAATTTTCCAGAACTCATTTCCAAAATAACCAGAGCAAAATGGACTGGACGTGTGGCTCAAGCAGCAGAGTACCTGCTTTGCAAGCACAAAGCCCTGAGTTCAAACCCCAGTCCTACCAAAACAAACAAAAAAGAACTTAGGCTTCAAACAGATTTGTGTTTTAGATAATTCATACTGACTGGATTATGAAGAATTAATTTGGACTAGAGGTGTGGGGAACAGATTTGTGTTTTAGATAGTTCATACTGACTGGATCATGAAGAATTAGTTTGGACTGGAGGTGTGGCTTAAGTGGTAGAGCACCTGCCTAGCAAGCACAAGGCCCTAAGTTCAAACCCCAGTACCACCAAAAAAGAAGGGTAGGGTGAATTCAACCATGATATCTGGTAAGAACTTTTTGTAAATATCACATTGTATCCCCCAATAACCAATAATATGAGAATAAAAAAATTAAAATAAAGAATTTAAGCCAAAAAGATTGGAGGCCAGGTGAGCAAGTAGGAGGCATTACAGTAGTTTAGGCAAGGAAGTAATAGGTGGGGCCTAGAGCATGCATCTGGACAGTGGGGATTTATTCTTGAATAAGGTACTCTTCTTCCTCTGAAGTTGGAGGATGGGAGCACATTTGCAGAACAGGAATTAGGAGTAGTCTGTGCCTGATACCTCTGGTTTTTTAGTTACCAAGCAAGAGAACTGGTGGGGTGAGTAAAGGTTCCAGGTAAGTAGAAAAAAGGGTAGGAGCTAAGGAAATGACAGTTGGAATGACCAAGGACAAGGAAAGAGGATAGCTACTTGTTTCTAGGAGTAGGCTCCATGCCTCCTTTCACCCTTGACTTACAGAGTATGGTGCTTTCCTTTCATGATAGGCCTCGGTAAAAGCCTGTAGATTTTAAACCTAAAATCTCAATCCACCTTGCTCTGTGGTGGCTGGACCTACTATTCCTGAAACTCCTAAAATAGACACCAGAGGGCAGTACTGTCTGCATGTCACCTCAGCAACTTAGTTCCCAAGCTCACTTTGGTTAGGGAAATTGTGTGATAGCTCACACCAGTGCGCAACTGTGAACTCATTACCCATCCTCACCCCCTTTCCTCTCTAGGCACGATCCCTCGGGGGCCAGTGTGTACCTGTGGTGTGTGATTCAAGCCAAGAGAGTGAAGTGCGAAGCCTGTTTGAGCAAGTAAACCGGGAACAGCACGGGCGTCTGGATGTGCTGGTCAACAATGCCTATGGTGGGGTCCAGGTACCATTTGAACTTAATCCAACGCCCACTCTTCACCTCCCCTCCACATGCCAGAGTCCTCATTCATCCCCATTTGTTGTCCCTTCCCTTACCCAGCGCTTTACCTTCTGTTACCCTGCCTTCTGATCATCCAATCAATCACATTTTCTGTGCCTTCTAGGCGATCCTGAACACAACTAAGTCATTCTGGGAAGCCCCTGCCTCCATTTGGGATGATGTAAACAATGTTGGACTTAGGTGTGTGTTCCCCTCACCTCACTTCAAGGGCCAAGTCTCCCTTCACTCACTTAGCCATCCTCAGGACAAGGTCCTTTCCCTGTATGTCTTTTCCTTCCCTCTCTGGCTTCCTTTATCTCTTTCTTCTCCCTTCTGTTCCATTTGTCCCACTTATATCTGAGAAGTTCCATACAGGTGAGTCTGCCCTTGAGAATGTCAGCTTTGACCTTTTTCTCTCTGGAGCTTGAACTCAGGGCCTACACCTTGAGCCACTCCCCCAGCCCTGTTTTTTGCATTGGGTCTCATAAACTATTTGCCCAGGCTGGCTTTGAATCGCAATTCTCCTGATCTCTACCTCCTGAGTAGCTGGGATTACAGTGTGAGCCACCGGCACCCAGCTAGTCTATGTTTTCAAAAACTGGTTAGAGGGAGAAATGACTAGCTCAACATAATGTTAATGAAAGGAATGGGCACTGACTGTCCTTCACTTCCATGTCCTCACTCAAGACCTCACGGGAAAGTATAATTCCAGGGAAGAGTTGGGACTGTGGGATGCTGTGGGGTCATACTACATCTGGCACAGGAGTGAGATAGGACAGCACTTAGAATTTGCCCACAGCATAATATGCATAGTTAAGTCTCTGTTGCTTACTTTTGATAGATGTGGTAAGGCTCCTGTGAGAGTAACCAAGAGATTATTTGGAAATCTGTGACTAAAACATGGAAGATACCCAACTTTGGTAGTCTGGTGGCAGTCCCAAGGAAGCAGGATTAGAATGCAATTGTGATTTCCAAAGTAAAAGAAAGATTGTGAGGACAGTAGGGCTGGTCAACCCAGACACTTAAAAGCAAAACACAAAGAGCAGGAAATTGGCCTTGGAGGCCCACATCCTCCTAGGAGGGGTGCCTGCTATACCCTCATCTCTTGCTGTCTATAATCCTTAGCAGGGGCTCAAGATGGACACCCAGATGTCAGCCCCAAACCCTGCACCCTGATGAATTCTCCAAGATAAAGGCTACTCCATGAGCCATTAGCAGCCCACCCACACCTCTTCCCCTTTCACATTCCCGTCTCCTCATATAAGTGTATTGCCTTTGCTCTGCATTCCCTGGCACTGGACTTTCCCCTGAAACTATAATTCTAACAGTTTTCATTTGGAGGGCCCTGCCCATTTCCCATGCAAAAGCAATTTTTTTTCTGGTTACCAAGTGTGTGTGTGTGTGTGTGTGTGTGTGTATTATTAAAACAACTTGTGGAAAAAAATGTAAAGACTAGAACAGCTTTGCCAGTGTTTTGGTAGTACATGCCTGTAATCCCAGCACTTAGGAACAAAGGCAGGAGAATCACAAGTTCAAGGCCAACCTGTGCAACATAGTGAGTTCAAGGGCATCCTGGTGCGTAGTGAGACACCTGTCTCAAAAAAAAAAACTAGTTCAATCTTACTCCCCTCACTGCCTTCCCTTCCTCCCTTGCCTGATAAATAGACACCACTAATATAGCTTGGCATATATTCTTCCAAATTTTTCACATAAATATCTCATTCTTTTAAACCCTCATAAAATATTCCACTGGGGCCAGGCATGGTGGTGTACATCTGTAATCCCAGCTACTCTGGAGGTAGAGATCAGGAAGATTGTGGTTCTATGCTAGCCTGGGCAAAAAGTTAGCTAGAATCCATCTCAACAAACAAGCTGAGCACAGTGGTGCACATCTGTAATGCCAGCTATTCGAAGGTAAAAGAATTATGATCCAAGGTCAGCCTGGGGCAAAAACATGAGATCCTATATGAAAAATACCTAAAGCAAAAAGGGTTTAAGTGGTAGATCACTTACTTAGCAAGTGTGAGGCCCTAAATTCAAACCCAAAGTATTGCCAAATTTTTCATTTATTACATATTCCCGTTCCTTTAGGAAGAGGTACAGTAATTTATCTAATCCCTTATTTGTTATAGCAGTAAAATTCTTGGATCATAGAATATGTACTTCCTTCTTTTATTTTCTTGTTGGTACTGGGATTTGAACTTATGGCCTTATACTTGCTAGACAGGCGCTCTACCACTTGAGCTACTCCACTAATCCAGAATATGTACTTCTTAAAATTTTAACAAACATAAAACAAACTTTCCTCCTCAAAAGACCCCAGCTATTTTTAATTTCAAGATAATGAAAGAGGGCTGAAGACATGGTTCAAGTGGCAGAGCACCTGCCTTGTAAGCACAAAGCCCTGAGTTCAAACTCCAGTACTGAGGAAAAAAATGTTAATAATGGAGAATATCTGTTTCCCCACATCTTTAGCTATCCTAGACAGTATCAGGCTACTCAATCAGACCAACTTCGCCACTCTGATAAGGTACAGATATATAAAGGTGGTTCTAATCCTTACTTTAACAATTTCTGAGGTTGAGCTTTGTCTATTGGCTTTATTTATTGACTTTTCCTACTTTTGTGAATTGTCACTTGTGTGATTAAGTTATTCTTTTCACATTGGATTTATAAGAGATCTTTGTGGAACAGATGCCTTTGACATATGTTTTACAAGTTTTTTTTCCCAATTTATCGCTTCTTTTTTTGACACTGGGTTTGAACTCAGAGCCTCAAGCTTTCTAGGTGGTAGGCATTACCGCTTGAACCACGACCCCAGCCCTGTTTGCTTTGGTTATTTTTCAGGTAGAGGTCTCACAATTTGTTTCCCCCAGTCAGCCTGGACTGTGATCCTCCTATTACATTTCCCACATAGGTGGGGTGATAGACATGCACCACCTATGTCTATCATGCCCAGCTTTTTTTTAAGAGTTCTTGCTCACTTTTTGTCCAGGCTAGCCTCAAACTAAGATGCTCCCTCTTGGCCTTTGAGTAGCTGCGATTACAGATGTGAGTCACTACATCAGCTTTATGTTTTCTTTTAGTACTTTCGTGCTTTCATTTTTTTCCATCTAAATTTTGCATCCTTTTAGAACTCATTTTGAAATAGTAAATGAGGTAGACGGTCAGTCCTCCCCAGCCCACATAACTGTTCAGTTGTCCCAAATCTACGTACTTTCTGTATTGATTTGAAATGTTCCCTCTGTACTTTGTTACAGTCCCACTTACACTGGGATCTAATTATGCAATACTTTGTTTCATTGACTTGCCTGACTACTGTTATACCCGTGCTGAATCCTTTTAATTATGATGTCACTGTACATTTTAATATGGGTGATTGGGGGAAGAGGGGAGCAAATCCTCTTTACCCATAAGACATTCTTTTTTGTTTTTTCCAAATTTTTCTGGCTGTCTTCACATATTAATTCTTCTCATTAATCTTTTTTTTTCAATTCCTTCATAAAGTCTTATTGAGATATAACTCAAACTGACTAAATATATGAATTAATTTACATAGAATGGATGTTTTTCATGTCAATTTTTCTTCTCTGAACAATTGTGTCTGTAGCTGTTCTTGTATAGTTTTAGTTTTTCCACATAGACCTTACATATTTCTTAGGTATTTTTCTGCCCGAACTATTTTATGTTTATAATTGCTATTGTGACAGAGGTCTTTTCTTCCATTACATCTTCTAAAGATCGCCCTTTCTCATCTGCCAGTGGTAATTTTACCAGTTTTTCTCTCAGAATATGGCCTCCAGTCCACTTCTCAGGTCTGTAGCTCTGCAGCCTTTCCCACTGATTACAGCCACCGAGGGCACAAGAAGCAGCCAGGGCCTGCAGCACCCAGGCCACAGCATTAACACAGCTCATTCCTTTTCCTTCCCCACTCCACCATCTAGAGGCCACTACTTGTGCTCCGTATATGCGGCACGGATGATGGTACCTGCTGGCCGGGGGCTCATCGTGGTCATCTCCTCCCCTGGGGGGCTGCAGTATATGTTCAATGTACCCTATGGTGTGGGCAAAGCTGCGGTAAGGACCAGTGGCATAGGGTTGGGAAAGTGCAGGATAGTGATGGGACTTACAGCTTGGGAGGTATAATCCCTTGTGGCCAGAATGGTAAAGCTGCCTAGCCCTCACCTCTCCTTTTGACCCAACAAAGGTCAGTTCCTTTGCTTGGGCTCCCCTCCATCTCCCCTGCCAGAGTAGGCATCAAATTGGGAGCAGTGAGCAGTGGAAACCTGAGGGCTCCTGAGAAGGGCAAGAGCCTGGGTGCACGGAGGGCGGAAAACGAAAGCAACACAGCCAGGTGTTCTAGCTCTCATTCTACCTTTTGTCCCTCCACAGTGCGACAGGCTAGCTGCTGACTGTGCCCACGAGCTGCGGCATCATGGGGTCAGCTATGTGTCTCTGTGGCCAGGGATGGTGCAGACAGAAATGCTGAAGGACTATATGGCAAAGGATCACTCTGAGGATCCTCTGTTTAAAAAGGTTGGCAAAGAGAGGGCAAGGGAAGTAGGCAATGGAGAGGAGGCAACCCTCCATTTACTCCAACAAGAGTAAATGTTCCCACTTATCAGGAGCTGCGGGGGCAGGCACAGGACTGAGTACATGCATGCATTATTTCTTTTAATCTTGTGAGGGAGACACGCCCTCCATTTTACAGATGGCAAAATTGAAACCCAGAAGGGTTAAGAAACTTGTTCCAGGGCAGAGGGTATAGCTCAGTGATAGAGAATGTGCTTAGCATATGCAGGCCCTTGTTCAATTTCCAGCCCTGAAAAAAGACAGGAAAGAAGGAAAGAAGGAAGGAAGGGAGGGAGGGGGGTTGGGAGGGAGGGAGGGGGGATGGGAAGGAGGGAGGGGAAGGGAAAGGGAAAGAAAGGAAAGACATTTGTGTCAGGTCACATGTTGGAAGTGGAAAGGCTGTCTAGCTCTGAAGCCGTCACTTGACCCCTGCACTGAACTAGCCTGGAAGGCCCAGACACTAGTTGGCATTATGAGAGCCTTCCACTTAGGAAAGGCAGCAGGTCCTGGTACTGGGAACAGGGCTTGCCTGAATGCAGGGAGGAGTAACTGTAGTGCTACATTGGGTCCTGCAGGTCCTGCATGAGGTCTGTAGCCTTTCTTTCTCCTGAGACAGAGCTGAAAAGGGGGAAGACTGGGGCAGTTCTCTTAGAAATTAACCCTTTACCTCTCAACATGTTTTTCAGTACAAACCAGGTTTCTCAACAGCAGAATCCACAGAAATGAGTGGCAAATGTGTGGTGGCTTTGGCAACAGGTGATGACTTTGGGACAGCCAGACAGGGCTTGGAGGATCTACAGGGCAGTGGCAGCAAATACCTAGTTTTGATTTGGGAGGTGGCCAAGGAGAATGCCCAAATTTTCTATGTCTTTTGAGTTTCAAAGAGTCAGGATTCCAGGTTGGAGGTTTGGGAGCCTGTGAATTGGTTCCCGTGAGGTGTGGCCAAGAGCCTTCCTAGGAACAGAGAGAAACAGTTCTCCAGGGCTCCTGAGCCTGTCTCAGTGATGGCCCGTCCAGTTTAGCCAGACCTTGTCCCTCTTCACCCCCGTGCCCACCATCTCCAACTGTATGTGTGCCCTCAGACCCAGATATCCTGAGCTTGAGTGGGAAGGTGTTACCATCCTGTGACCTTGCTCGGCGCTATGGGCTTAAGGACGTGGATGGTAAGAGCTCTGGGCCCGCAGCCAGCCTCAACTGCTATTCCTTCTGCTCCCTGCTCACTCCTTCTCTCAGTCTCTTCAATCAGGGTGGGAGGTGTCAGAGGAGTGGGGAAAAAGGCCCAATTGTTCCTCTCCTGTTGTTCCCAGGACACCCTGTTCATGACTATTTTTCCATGAGCTCTGTTCTCACACATGTCTCCAGCCTGGAATGGTTGGCCTCCTACATCCCTAACTTCCTGCGCATGCCCAAGTGGATTATCACCCTGTACACCAGCAAGTTCTAACCCTCCAGCCTGATGTCACAGTTCTGCTTCTTTTCCCATGTGAGCTTGGGTGGTTGGGCCTATCTTAATAAAACAAATCAGCTTTTTCTCACCTGTCCTTGCCCTTGGATACGAAGAGAATGCTTCTACCAGGCATCCTTGTAAACTCTGGGATCCCTGATAAGTCATTCTTTTTGCCTTGGTTTTCCTTGTCCCTACATTTTACTTTTTTGCTTCAATATTGAAAAATTCTCTGAACGCTAATAAAGGACTCATTTCCCCTTCCGTGTGTTTGTAGATGCTAATTCTGTGCTCAGCAAAGTGGTAAATACTTGAGAGAAAAATGCAAAGATGCACAAATGTGTAGGCTCTCAAAGGGTTCTGTCCCTAAGTTAAGGTCCCTTTCTTCCAGACCTGTTCCTACTGTTCCCTGCAAGGCCTGTTTCCCATGCCCCAGCTAAGGAGCTAGGTCCTTCCATAACCAGAAGCTCCTAATCTCACACTGCTCACATCCCCTCATTCCACCATCTCTTCAGGGTGCCTACTACCTCCTACCTGGGATGATCTCTTGGAGAGGTCCAATTCCAACATGGGCAGATTCCTTAGTGTCTCTGATTTCCTGGAACTGGAGGAGAAGATACTGCCAGATTCCAAGTAAGGAACAGAGGAACAACTACTGGCACTGACACACTCATCCTTCCTCTCCAGACTGTATGACCTGAATTGCTTCCTACAGACATGATTACACGAGCCCTTCCAGCCCTTCTGGGCTGCCTTGCCTGCTCAGTGCCTGGTTGTACTGCCTCCCCACCCCTGCAAAGGGGCTCCAGGAGGCCCAGGGTGGTTCTCCAGCAGTGACAGATTGTTGGGCTAGAGATGTGGCTCAAGCTGTAAAGCCCCTTCCTACCAAGAGTGACAGATGTCAGCAGTGAAAGCACACTAAAGGGAACATCAGGCACAAAAATGGAAAAAAGAGATTCCAAGAGGATCTAGGCAGACATTAACACTGTCAGCTGCAAGAAGATTTAAGCAGAAGACTGGCTTCATCAGACTTGCATTTGAGGAACCACTGGGATTGAAGTGTGGGCAAAGAGAAGAACAGTGAGCATGAGAGGAGCAGTGAGGCTGGCCCAGTATCAGTGTCACCAGGATGTGATGGCAGTGGAGGTGTGTGTTGAGGAGAGACTGTAGGAGTCAGTGTCTACAGACTGGGGACCTGAGCCAACACAGGACTGCAGCAGTGTTATCCATGGCAAAGGGGACTATGGAACCAGCAGGTACAGAAAAAGAGTGTACTTGAGCAGCAAATAAGCCAGCTTGCCTGAGGTTAGTCCTAGTGGGACACTGAGAGGTAAGATGCATCCTACTCCTACTGGACCAAATCAAGGAGTTTGACGGTCCCTGGAAGATGACTGATATCCGAAGGAGCCCAGCAAAAAATGAAGAAGGGATTTCTTTTTTTGCATTTTAAATTAATTTATGTTAACATATTCACATAGCCCAGAATCCAAAAGGTTTAAAAGTGTACACAGTAAAAAGTGTCCCTCTCACCCCTACCCACTAGTCCAGTCCCCAACACAGAAGCAGCCAGTGCTACTATATTCTTGGGTAGCCACAGAAATATCCCATACCTATACAAGCAGACATCTAAGTGTATTCAGGAAACAGTTAACTGTGTGCAAACGCTTCTTTCTCTGACTGGGAGTTTGTGTTTCCAAGTCTCTGAGGCTTGTTCTTGACCTGTGTCCCATTCTTCTAAGCTAGGCAGCACCACTGGGCCCAGAGCCCCCACCTCTTCCAGGTCTTTAATCATCGGACACCAGCAGAGACGGGGAGAGAGAGAGAGTGTGTGTGTGTATGATAGCTTAAAGAGGAGAGAATGAGGCTGAGAGGTACTGTGAATACCTAGAAGAGACTAGCGCAAGCAGTGTAGCCCAGCCCAGCCCATCCTGGTCTCCTCCACAGCAGCCAACTCACATCATGTGCAATGCATGGCACACCTACCTCAGAACAGCCACCCATCAGTAAGGTTAGGGGTGCCAATATGACGCAGACTGGGGGCCTCTGCCCCCAGGGTGTCCCCAGAGATGTGAGCTCTAACCAATTGTCTTACGTTGTTTAAATAGGAAGATGATGAATGCCAGGCTGGACCAAGGGAACTGAGATTTCAGTTTGGGGACAAATGCTGAAGGCCCCTTTGGACCCACGCATGGGAAGGGAGGTCCCTGGCAGGCAAGAGAAGTAAAGAGATGGTGCAAGTGACAGACAATTGGGTGGGGTTCAGGCACAGGGAAAGGGGCCCACAGAGTCTATGCCCATTGGACAAAGCAAGGTAAGGTGGGTGAGTCCAGAGCTGCCCTTTTTTCTTCCTCATCCAGCTCCCACACACCTATGACCATCAAAGGTCCTGACAGCCTCTTTGAGGGTGTTATATGAAGCATCTGGTCCCTTCAGCTTTTGGGCTTCCAATACTGGGGACAGCCCCACTGGCCCCTCCACAGGACTTTTTCTCTAATCTTCCGTCACCCAGTCCTCTAGTGTTTGTGGCAACCTCTTCAGCACCCAATCCTGTGCAGGGAGGGGCAGACGCGTACTGGCAAGCCTATAAAAGTTACAGCTCTCAAAGTGCTTTCAGTAATGATCATGAAACAATTAGACAATAATGGTGAGACCCAGGGTGAAGACTCAAGGGAGCTAGAGTAGTCACCACCACCAGGCTCCTCCCCAAACAATGCAGCCCTGGTCTTTTCAGGTTTCACCTTAGTGAGGGGTTATGATATTCTACTCTCTGCCTTTCTCTCTCAAACTTACCTCTGCTATTGTTCCTGCCTCTGGGTAGCCAAGAGTATCAACACCCACCTCAGTCCATCCTAATTCCCTGTCTAATGCCCCCTCAGCCAGTCCCACCTCCACACAGGTGTGTGCACCCCTCCCAAGGGTTATCCTCACAGCCTTATTCTGAGCTACAGAGGAGGCAGGATTTGCCCCCATCCGAGCAGGAGCTAAGGAGGGGCCAGATAGGTCTTCTACCAAGTGGTATCAAAGGTAAACACAACTGAAGCCAGGCATGGTGATACACAGCTGTAATCCCAGCACCTGGGAGTCTGAGGCCAGAGGATTACAAGTTCGAGACCATCCCGAGCTACATAGCAAGATCCTGTTTGAAGAAAGCAAAGGAAAAAACGACAGAAAGATCAACACAGCCAGATAGAGTAGTTTTAAAACAGTGAAACAGACTGTGTTCAGTAACTACTGACAGTGGGAGGAAGAGCTGATCCTGATTTGTGCAGAGGTGATTTGAACATCTTAAAGCGAGAATGAGATAGATGGTGAGAGACATGTAAGCCTACTTATGCCCCCAGCGCCTGTGAGAGACAGAATTAACCATGTCCTCCCCGGTCAGAAAGGTGATCAGCACTGCGAAAGCTCCAGTGCCTCTTGGTGCCTACAGGCAAGCTGTGCAAGTCGACAGGATCATATACGTTTCAGGACAGGTTAGGCATAGACCCTGCAAGTGGACAGCTTGTGCCAGGACGGGTAATGGAAGAAACTAAACAAGCTCTTATGAACATAGGTGAAATTCTGAAAGCTGCAGGCTGTGACTTTACTAATGTGGTCAAAACATCTATTTTACTGGCTGATGTAAATGACTTTGGGACTGTCAATGAAATCTACAAACAGTATTTCAAGAGTAATTTTCCCACTAGAGCTGCCTACAAGGTTGTTGCTTTGCCCAAAGGAAGCCAGGCTGAGATTGAAGCAATAGCTGTTCAAGGACCTCTTTTAACAGCATCACTCTAAGTGGACCCAGTGTTTGTCTCTGGAATTTCTATCTTGTCTTTAAATTAACATCTTAATTTTTACAATTGATGTTGGGAAGTGTAAGGTGTAATTAAAACATCTGGTTATCACAGAAATACCGTATCATAGGGAAATTTGACAAGAATTGAAGGTTAATAAATCCAGTTATGGACGCTATAAATTACACTTATGTAACTCATATTGCTAAATGTAAGAGAAGAGACAATAATTACAGAGTTACTCAAAGGAAAAGATGTAGGGAAGATGAGATATTGTTCCTAGGAAGTAATAAAGAGCACACACAATTCAATTAAATCTTATTAATTTAATGGTGTGAAATATTTAGCTCAAATGATGATTGAGAAGCTAATAAAAAAAATGGTGCCAGGTACCACAACAGAAACAGAAAATTGCTGTTTTCTGGGGTTTTGTTTTTTTTACTTTTTCACTTTTTTTGTTGTTGTTGTTTTGGTTTGGTTTGGGTTTTTTTGTTGTTTTAATGGAGTGTGCTAGATGTCTCTATAATTTTGTTCAGATGACTGCAGAACCTGGAAAAGCTGTTGCTGCTATTGATGCATAACATACTGCTGTTATTGGTCTTTTTATATAAATATAATATATATATATACATATATATAATTTGAATTTTTGGAAACTTTAGCTGTGCTGTCAACTTTGGAAAAAAGTATCCCAGTTTACTGTGTTGAGTTGGCATTGTACAGAAATTAATAGCCATATTGGTCTAGAAACGTTAAACTTAATTTTTTTTCCATTTGTACAGGGGTAACTAACGCACTGTATTAAATATGTAAGGTCTTATCTACGTGGGTTTGATTACAGAAACTAATAAAGTATTCTCTAAATAATGAAAAAAAATATTTAGCTCTCATGAGTAAAATTAAAATATTCGAACTTGAAGGAGAAGAAAGTGGACCAAAATTTTATATATAAGTATTTTTCTAATGGAAATAAAATAAGCATGTAGGTTTCAAAAAAAGAGAGAGAGAATGAGAGTGGGTGGAACAGGGACTCCGTAGAGTGAAAGTAAGTGTGATTAGGCCAGCTGTCTTTGTTAGCTGGTGGTTATCTAAATTAACCACAGGGATTTGGAGACAAAGACAAAGACCTTTTCTTTCTTGACGATTACAGTTCAAAGGAAGGGTTCTCTGTCTTTGAGAGAGATGCTTCTGCTTGCAAGAGATACACATTTATAACTGTAAGGTCTTTTTAGAAAATGGCCTAAGAAAGAGAGGTCAGGGGCCTATCATTAGGTGTAGACTATAACACAAAGCAAATTTCCAGCAGCACTGAACTTTCTCAAGCAAACACTTCAAGTGGGGCTGGGGTTATCAGAGGGACATGTCTGGATACTGCTGGATCCCATGCTAGAGTTTGGGTAAATCTCTTATGAAGGCATTTGGGCAGAGCTGTCTTGTGTCAGGAGATCTGTAATCCACTGCCCTCTGCTCCAAGGC